GGGGCGGGCCCCCCCCCCCCCGCCCCGCCCGCCGCTCGCCAGGTGGTGCGCGAGGGTGGTGCTGCCTCTCGGGGCCCGGCCCCGCCCCGGCCCCGGCCCTGCCCCGGCCCCGGCCCTCGCCCTGCCGGTTGTTCCGTGACCCTCGCTAACCCGGCGGGGTTCCCGCAGCCGGGCACGCTCCGGAAGAACCACTGAAGGCTGAGCTGCCCGCGGTTCGATCGTCCCCGCTCCACTCGAAGGCCCGCCCGGGCGCCCTTCCATCCCGTCGGGGGAGGCCGGGCCAGCGGAGTCCCCGTCTTTCTGCTCGGGGGGCGCCTCCCGTGCCCAGACAGTTCCGCGGGAGGTAATCGCAGGATCACAGAATGGCTAGAGTTGGAAGGGACCTTAAAGACCATCCAGTTCCACCCCCCTGCCATGGGTAGGGACACCTCCCACCAGACCAGGCTGCTCAAAGCCCCATCCAGCCTGGTCTTGGATACTTCCAGGGATGGGGCATCCACAGCTTCCCTGGGAAACCTGTTCCAGGGTCTCACCACCCCCACAGTAAAGAATTTCTGCCTAATACCTAATCTAAATGTCCCCTCTTTCAGTTTAAATCTGTTACTCCTCGCCCTATCGCTACACTGCCTGACAAAGTGTCCCCCCTGACTTTTCCTGTAGGCTTCCTACAAGTTCCACAGGAACCTGGTGGGTTCCCACACCTTGTGCCAACCTGGTGCCTGACCTCCACGGCCACTGATCACACCGTCCCGTTGTGGCACAGGCTGCAAGGCTACCACACCACCATGCAGCATCGGAAGCTGGTGCTGTCCATCACCCTCAGAAACCACAGCTGCTGAGCCAGCATTTTTGGGAGAACAGCTCTGCTAAAGGTCTGGCGGCAGCAGCTGGACTGTGGCAGAGGGACGAGGTGGGTAACATGGTGCCTTACAAGGCAAAAGGTGGTGGCCCGGGTGGAAGTATCCTATGAACTGAAGCTGGTCATGGAGTCCCCAAGTGGATCACACCAAGCTGGATCACACCAACCCACGTTCAAATTAGCACATCAGCCTAGATGCAAATCAGCACGCTCTGCTGTAGCTACACCTCTGGTATTAACATAGTCACTTCTGTGTGGGTGAACATTTAATTTCCCGTGAGAAACATTTCTTACAGTTACTGTCAGGTTTTTGTTATACGTCAAGCTTGTTATACCATTAGTGCAGACAGCATGTTAAACTGTCTGCGCTGCTACGCAAGCTATCATCTAAGACCAAATTGGGCTAACGATTATAGTTTGTAACGCTGCTGCCATCAAATTTCCCCCAAGGCGTTCTCGCCTGGTTTCCCTTGGGTTGCACAGGGGCAGGGAGCAGAGGAGCCCGTGGCCGCAAGCTCCTCTCGGGAGGCATTTTTCAGACTCGTGTTGCTGAGGAGGAAACCTCCCGCAGGAACTCCCACTTGCGAAGTACTTTGTTTGGAGGTCACATTGAGAGGAAGTCATGGATGGTGAAAATCTGGGTGCTGATGCAACCTGAGTGGGAAAGTTGGACCCCTTACAGTGCATTTGGCATGAATAAAATGGAAAAGGCTCAGTTAAGAGCAAAGACAGACAACAGTCATAGTTTTGTTTCCATTTATTAATCCTGCTGATTAAAACCTACGTGGCTGCTTTGTAGGCTTTGGATACAGATTTCAAAGGAACTTGACAGCTCACAAATTATAACAAGAAAAAGCACTAAACATCTCATTATTTTTCCATTTAGATCACACAGACTCTACATACGCTATGTAGATACTATCCATTGATAGATATTTAATCAGTTCCCCCTCCCTGGGTCTTCAGCATTCTCGGCTTTATTTCTCATTTGCTCCTGTCTTTGAGCAATTCAAGTCTACGCATGTCTCAAAGTTTAGACTGCTGTTGTAAGGCAACTGCAATGTGAGTCCTACTCATCAAGTATGGTATCCTTACAGGCAATGACAACAACAAAAAGACAACCGTGAGCAGAATCTTACATGCAAAGGCAAGAGAAAACTAGAAATTTAATAATTACAATGCAGTTCAGAGTATAATATATTAGCAATACTTTCATAAATACTTCTCTTTTCAATATTTCTCCATCAGTAATAAAATATATTTATAATCTGTCATTATTATTAAGAAAGTAAGCATTGTACTAGCACTCTCCTAGTTTAAAAAAAAAAAGTATGGTTATTGAAAAGTTACTTTTTCCCCCTCCTTCTCTCGTAGCTGCACTGTCTCCCGTGAGATGTGATTATTCTGCTCAAGTACAATTCTGAGATTTTGTAATTATTTTTAACATCAAACAGTATTAACCAGCACAGACTGTATTAGCTTTTGCACACAAGGCACAATAAATCCAGGTTCAGTTATTAACTATTCATAAATACAGTATTTTTCACTTACAGATAGGTTGCAAAGCTACAGAACAGAAACAGCAGTTATGTTCTTCTTTCAAAATGTTCTTTTCAATGCTTTTGTTCTTGAGTTGATTACATAGCCCAGCTTTCATGTTAAGATGACCTAACATTACCAGTCTACGAAGGAATTATCATGTGGGGAAAAGAGGGTATGAGAGACTGAATACTAAGAAGGCCGTCATATCATCCCAGAATTTCAGAAAAACTAGAACTGAGAGCTTCAAATTTCTTTGCTTTGATTACATTTATAATACCTCAAATTAATCCTTATCCTAAATTCATTGCCAAAAGGAGTTTTGGTATCTGGACAACAGCTTCTTCTAAAACGGATAACCATATGCTGAAAAATGTTTACCTGAATGTCAGTTTTGGCAACATTTCTCCACAAATGTCTAGAGGGACCAATATGTAATTACAGGCTGTTGGGAACATTTCCCCTCTCCCGGGTTTGGATGTGCATCCTGCCCGCGTCCCTGTTCTACAGCAGTTTGAGGCTCACAGAGGCGTGCATCATCCACCTCTGCTCTGGTTTCCATGGAGAGGATTTCCACCAAAATCCTCTTCTGTTCAGTCTAGCGTTGCCTTACCTTATGCATTTCTTTTCCAATACTTATTAGTTAGATTTTAATTTCAATTACAGTCACATAAGCCCAAAGCAAGTCCATTTCATTTCAGTGGAATTATCCTGGATTTACTCTATGGTAGCTTTGATCAGCATCTGATCTCTTCTTTTTTTTGCTGGACAGACCTGGTTATATATTTCACATACAAAACACTGGTCTGTCTCATAGAGAAGGTGTAATTCTTCTCTGGCTGCTAGATTCTAGTGTTTTCTTAATGTAAAAGCTGTAAAATTGTGTCAGTGTGGACCATATGTGCTATGGATGAATACTGTTTCCCGAGCCATGAGAACTGAATAATGTTGTTTTAAAAAAAAACCTAATAAGAGAGAAAGGAAACAACTGCCAGCATTTTCTGCTCTTTTCAGCCTACCAATCTATGGTGTTGTGCTACTGCAGAAAAGCTTAATTTCATATTGGTGCTGCTAAAGAGAATGATGCTGTCAAAATTTCTGGTGCTGCAGCGGAGAGTAGTGTTCTGTGGAACGGCTCAGTCACCTGCTCGAATACCACTTGTTTTTGCCAGATTAATTTGTCATCCCTTGCTTCATCTGTTACCTGTGAAATCAACTCCTTAAAGAAATAGTAACCAGCTTTTCCATCTGAGAGGGTAACACAGCCTCTGGCTAGCCTCACAGAAAGGTGGTTTGCCATCACCTGCTCTGGTCACCTAGCTTGGCCTGCTGGAAACTTTGGAGCTTGGTCAGTTTTTCCTATGAGTCAGTGAGTGAAGTGAGGTGATCAGGAATCACCAGCAAAATCCACCTGGTCCATAGTCAGCTTCTTTAATCTCTTCTGGAAGGACAGTGGGTAGGAGTGTGGGTTGGATTGTGTGCCAAATTAAGTGACTCGGTGCATGTTTCATGGCCTACTTGCAACTTCCCAAGTGTAGGAACTGTACTTGCAAGGGACAGGGGAAGAAAACTGAATAATTGTGTGAGTTGTTCGAGGTGCTTTAGAAGTTGATAAGGGCAGTAAAAGGAAAAGATTAAAACAAATGCAAATGTAGAAATGGATCCTACAGGTTATTTGTCTTAGAGTAGCTATTTATTTTGTTCTTGTTTACGTAGAAATAATTGTCTGGAATTTATGTTTTCAAAATAGCAGAAGTATTTATTAAAGTCAGAGATTGTTTCTGACTTTTGTTTCACTTCTTTACTGTACCTGCCTTTGACAGGATGACAGGTCACTGGTTTGTGTCAAGTACACATTATCTGACTTTCTCTGAAGGTTAATTTTTTTTCCCAGTACTTTCATATTGTATGCATCACTGTTAATGGAAGAAAATCACCGATGGGGACAACACAGCATATTTTGGGGATTAGTTCTCTTAATCTCTATTTTTATTGTAATTTGTTATTTTGTTTGTTAGCTAATTTGAGAAATGAAGAGTAACATTTTTATCATCACAGTTCTTAGCAGATTTTGTCAAAGATTTATTGCACAATGAAGCAAGCAGAATGGTAGCCATAAAAAGAAATCACAACTCTATTTCACAGAGCGTAGTTTAGAGATTATTTTCAAGTAATCACTGCTTATAATAACTTGGTTAAAAATATAGAATACCAGGAAGCACACAGCTTTTGACAAAACTCTTAAGAAGGAGCTTTTAGGAGGCCTCATTATGAATGACCAAAGTAAAAACCACTATCCAACATAAGCTATTTGCTGAGATTTGGCAAAATAGCTATTTTTAAAGCAAACCCTTTAGGAGAAAGTAGAGAACCTGCCATAAGGACAGTAATTTGGATTCTGTCTGAAATCATACTAATGTTAAATTAATTGATTATAACACCTCACAGTATCACCTGTGAAGAAAGGAGTGGGTGTGCTAGAGGTTAATGGGGACCACGGAGGGAGCACAAACCCTTCCATTTCCATTGCCTGGTTAAATAAATGGTCTTGATATTACAAACTGGCAGGAAATGACAGCTGGAGCCCCCATGGCTATAAGCATCCTGGAAACAGGCACAATGAAACTACGGTACAGATAAGGAATGACTAAGGTTATAACACAACTTGCTGGCAAGGAGTTTGCTACTGCAGCTGGGCTATATAGCAACAGGTTTTGTGGTTTTTTTCCCCCATAATTTGACTTCCCCACCTGCCCCTAAAATAAAACTTGGCAACACAGAGAAAGCCAGTTAATTACCTCCTCCCCACTGCTACTTCACTGCTGTTACTGCTGGTGGTGGGTTTGCTCCCATGTTTTCAGAAGATCAGTTGCCAGCTGTGAGATGTGCTGCCAGGCAAACTTGACGTGGGTGGATTCCACGGTGCGGGAACAAATAGCAAAACGTAGCACAAACTTCTCTCTCAGGAAGCAGGGGACCAGATGAATCTTCTTGGCCTCATCTATGCTTTTAAGAAGCGCCTTATTTAGTTCATTCGAGCCCTGAAATAATTGTCATGCAATGGATATGGTGATGAATTTCAGAGACAAGTTTGGAGTATGTAAATCCCACCAAGCAGCCAAGCCCAAACATCACCAGGAACACGCAGCCACTTTCTCATCTCTCAGTGCTTTGCCATCAAAGGATTACAAAAAGATGACGGCGCAAAAGATAATTTTTCAACCACAAAGAGATTTATGGATTAACTGAGGTTTAGAAGCAGCGTTCTTACTGGGGCATTTGTGATAGCTGACTGCTTTTTTGTGACCTCAGGTCATGAGCAGTGGAGCTTCATGTAAAAGCATTCATTATTGCATCCATTTCATTACATTTTTCTTAGATCTAATCAAACAAACGTGGGAGGAAGTTCTGCAATGAACTATACTAACATTTGTAAAACAAACCTTCCAGTCTTCACTTAAGCATGGCTGCTCTGAGAGAGTCTTTTGAAGATGAAGATGAAAATTTTACCCTTAATTAAGAAGTAGTTAAAGTAATGTATCTTTGGCATAAGTAAGTTTCATACTATCAGCAGAAACCCTCAAAAAGTATTTTACTGCAGTTCTATGGGAAGTGTCTGCCACAGAATCCTACAAAGAGGGGTTTTGGGGGGGGGGAGTTTAGAAATGTGGTAAACTGACCCTCCCACTGAAAGTAAACAGTCTTCTGCATTCCGGGAAACAAAGATATATCTTGCAGAAGGTCACAGGAACTCTACAAGGAACTTCCCCTTGTGCTCAAATAGTGACTCTGAGGATTTCCCTTTGAGGAGCTGTATGCTCTTCATATCAAATCTCAAAAGAACTAGGACTGCACAGAGGCGTACAGGTTCTTTTTTGCAGGTTCAGCTAATGCTGAATCAATGGTTTTCTTAGTTCATCTCTGTCAGCATTTGAGAATAAAACAAAAGATGTCATCAGATTTTCAAAACCAGTAGTAAATAACTTTAAAATGAAAACAATGAGAGAAGGGATCCCAAAAATCTTGGGATTTTTGTCTGGTTTAGCAACACAGGATGAAGTGCCAGCTGCATATCTTCGACAATCTTTGTTAGCCAAATTAAAGGAACCCATCTGTCCAACTTTTGTATCAGCAGACCACGAGATGGCTTCAGCTTTGCTGGGCTGTTTGCCATTATAGCTTAGGATATTCCATGTTGATTTTGAGTGCTACAATTTTATTCTTTGGGGAAGCGTCTTGGTTATTGTACAGCCTTTACTCTTCCTGTTAAACTGCTGGTAACACAGAATTGCAAGAGGTGCCAGGAGCAGCTACACTTTTATCAGAGTGTTCCCTTACTGAACTCTGACTGGGGTAAGAGAGTCACAGGTGGACAAATCCATGACTCTCTGTTCAGCAGTGGTTTTCTGACTGTAGCAGCATAGGTCTTCTTGAAAACATCCAAATCAGAAAACATGTTCTCTCAAATCTGCGCAGTTGTGACTTGCCTGATTAGCCTTTTCCATATAAAAACAAAGCATGAAACAAAATTTCCCACTGGCACAAAGGATAAATATATTAGAGTTAGAACTGAACCCAAGTCAAAACCTTGTTCTGACTTAGCACAAGTTGTTAGGGAATTTGGATGAGAGCCTGAAATTCATGGCTTAGCCTTGGTCTTCTAGGATCTATTTATGCAACTTACTAAGAAAAGGACCAACTTTGGTGTTTTGCAAGTCCCCACACGATGGGTCAGTCACTGGTGACAATGATATACTGCTTTTTTATCAAAGGTAATCCATCATTAAAATGATGATCCTTGCCTTTAATGTGAAATGCACAGCACTAGCTTGTAGGCCGTGCAAGCAGTTATATGATGATAAGTTATTGCCCTTGGCAGGGGTGATGGGAGGGAGGAGAAAGATTTATTTATCTTTCTTCTGTTCTACTCTCATGGTTGCACCTAGGGGCTGCTGTGACACTCGGGTGTCACATCAAATTGAAGTTAGTAACGACTAATCCTCTCCCAGAGCTTTGTGAAGCCAGCAGCCAGCTCTGATTGAGTCTGTCAGCTTCAATAAGACAGTTTTCTCACCCCCTTGGAGAAATTACTAGCTTGACTTGTATTCATCTGCAGACATGACAAGGAGGCCAAGAATTAACCCTTTGGCATGATACAATTGATGAAATAGTTATAATATGAAAGTCATAGATTATTAGTCCATCTGCTCAACAGGCAAAAAATTAAAAGTTATGGCTAAGCAAAAAAATAAAGAAGTATTTCTCAAGTACAAAGGAGGAAAAATATTTCATACTTTTACAGCTGTGCAGCATTACAATTGAAGTCCCCTGTCCCTCAGTCCTGCTGTAACTACATAAAAGATACAAGTAGTCTACTTCTACCATGCATTTTAATACAAATTAGAAGAATCACAGCAAGATTTTTGAAAGATTGATTTAAAAAGTAAATAAAGCTGCAAAAATAAGTATCAAATGCTCTTCATTTAAAAAACTGTAAGTTTTGTTTTCTTCTTTTTTGGACACGGAAGGCGAGTGATGAAAACACTGCTGTTTCAACACTGGTTTTCAGCAGAATCATGCCTTTATTCTACAACTTGTCCAAAAGTTTCTTTGCTAGATGTCCAATATTTACCTCCTACTGTAAAATCGTCTTTCTGTGTAGATCTGATTTCTTCCTCTGGAGCATGAGGGACAGGAGACCAGATGTAGATGAACCACTGGTCTGATCAGAAGTGACAATTCCTGTATTTCTATGCTCTATTTCACAAAGACTGTTCCTTTAAAAAAAGTGTAGAGCACTGACTAACAGCTGTCTCTGAATCTGCAAAACTAGTGTTTGCTTGTTCCATGTAACTACATTGAGAGCTCAACAACACTGTGTTATTGAGCAATAAAAGCCACAGAGTGTATTCCTCAAATTCTTTAAAATGTTCTTGTTAGGACAGAAATTATATTCACGATTCCACTTACTGGAAAAACTCCACATTCTGCAATCTATCTGATCCCCTAGCAACAAACGAGTTTTTTTCTTTTATTTTTAAACAACATAAATTAAAACCATTTCACTATTCTAGAGGAACTCACCATTACTGTATTGTTAAAGATTCATTAGCTCCTTCAGCCAATTGCATCAAACTCAGGTAAGTGGGGCAACTGAGTGACTGAGAGAAGAATTTGTGAGTAGTAGTGATACCACACTACCCAGAAGGAGACAAGGATGCGCTGGTGAGCCTTCTGAAAAGCTAAAAGCTGATTTAGGTATCATGCACACTAGAAAACACCAGTGCTGTTATTACCATTGCTTGGTGTTCAGATTCAGTGCCACAATCCAGCACTTTACAGAGGCTTTAGTTACAAGCTCCTCTATTAAACGAGTTCTTTACTGAAAACAAGAGATTGATCCCCCTGTAATATCGGAATGAGTCAAGTGAACCCTCCCAACCACTGCAGCTCTTACGCCCTGAGCGCAGAGCGAGTTTTCTAGTTTCTGTCAGGCAAGGTCTCTACATCAACAAACTTGGAACTTACAGAGAGTTTGGGGCATGAAAGGCCAAGAGGAGCAAAAGGGTCATGTTCAGCAAAATAAAGGAGATCAGGGCCAAGAGCAGTTGGGAAGCTGGCCTCCTATGCAACCTGTTCTTACTCATAACTTGCTCCAATTTGCTCAGTCTGACTGAGCAATGAAAATGTATTCTTTAAAGAAAACAACAACAAAAAAGTTTAATATTCTAATTTTTATCCATGATAGTAATTATATATATAAGTATATATAGGATTGTATTTTAAATATACACACATGTAATAATGAGTTGACAACAAACATCTAATACACACACATATAGACATACATCATATAGAAACGTTTATGAAAATCTATTGAAACAATCATCTTCATCAAAGCCCATCAAACTTAGAATGTAACAGCAATTGTGTATGACCGGGTAGAGTAAGACCATTTTTTTTCCCTGCCTATATATTTCCATACCCTAATATGCTTAACTTTTGCTTAAGCATTTGATTAAGTTTTAACAAAATTGTTTTAAGTTTCTTTCTTTAATCTGCTTTAATCTACGTGAACTCCCACTACTTTCCTTAAAAAATAATTAAGTATATTAACAAATTAAGTATATTACAAAGATTATATTCTATTGCAGGTTATTATACTGCTATAAATCATGACAGAGGTCTTAGCTGCCTTACCTTCAGCCGAAAACAGACTAGTCCCAAGACAACCTCAGCACAGATCTCAAATCTTTCATCCTGAAGGACTAAATGTTCAAATTGATGCGACAGCCTGACGTGCTGAGAAGAGAAAGATAGTATCTATGTTGAATAAATTTGATTCATCAAGAGAAAAGATGTGCTAAATTGTTTCCATCCCTAATCTTTTTTTCTCAGTTCCCTTTTCTGATATGTGATAATATTCACATATCACCATCTGTTTATGCTAACTTAAATCCCATTTATGACTTTCAGAGACCATATTGAGCTGTTACTATATTAGTAGCTCAGTCTATCTTAGGCAGTACTAAGTCTGTTTCTTAATGAAAAGTTTCAGCACAGTTTTATAACTGTCATGATACCAGATTAATAGTAAATAATGGTAATGGTTCTTCTTTAGGTTTTCTACCACTCTCAGTTTTGTTTGAGAATAAGAAGAGTCCAAAACTGATTGTGAGGAAAGGGGAGATGCACAGATACATAGAGGGAAAATGATCACAATTCCCATGCAGAATAAGCTGGAAAGATACGCTTTTCTAAAATGTTCACTTAATAGGAGAATAACTGTGAAAAAGGGCAGAACTTGCTCTCTCTTCTGACCCGGGTGCTCAGGTTGAGCTGAAAAGAAAGATGATGGCAGTATAATCAAGGAAACGGTTTGCAAATCTCAGCCAACCTGTTTAAAAATTACTGGGGGGAAAAACTGACATTGGATAGCAAGCCAGAGCAATTATTTTGAAGTGTAGGAAACCAGTGTTCTTCCAAAATCAAATAAATAGGAAAAATGCCAATAACAGGCATATTAACAATCAGCTAGGAAGTCTTAACATCAGTCAGGGATGCTTGTATACCACATTTGACTTTATCCCAAACAGAAAATGAATTCAAAAGCACTTGGGAAAAAACAGAGGCCATATCCTCATCTGGTACCTGCAGTACCTTATCCAGTCCCCCTCTCACTGGCTATCAGCAGTTTACTGCTCACTACCCTAAAAGCAAAAAAAAAAAAGACAGCAGCAATCAGTTATTAAAATTACAGTTTGTTTTCATGCAATAGCCAGTCTGCACCCGGCACTTATCAACAACATCTAAAATGATGTTTAAAAGTTCTTTAACTTTTATGTTTTATGATTGCAAATAATTTTATAAAAATAAACAACTAAGTTCATGTCTTTTCCTTCCTTTGTACTTTGCCTTTTTGCAAATTCAAGGACAGATATCAAACAAAAATGAAACATTTCACTCTGGGCCAGGGTTAGATGTGGAATGTTTCATCTCACAGGAACTGTTTCCAAAAAGGGAAGAACAAGGCAAAACAAATTACAGAAAAGAAAGGAAAAAAAAAAAAAAAAAGAAAACATATTTTGCAATCTTAATCATAGCTTTCTGATGTTTGTTTATTTCTTAAAATAGAAAAACATTGTTTATATTGAAGCAAAACATTGATTCAAAACCTTCCTGTTGGGCACGCTGGTACCCTATGCAACCGGCCAATCTTACTGTTGTTACCACTTCCCCTCTGCTGTTTGTTACATCCATTTATCATCTCCCTTTAAAATTACACCAAAAGCTCTTTGAGTCAGGAATGAGACCAATAAAATTCCCAGTTCTTTCCAAGGTATTTGAATATTCTGCTGATGTGAAAGGCATGAGTTTACAGCTATGAAAATTGACCAGAATTATGTGTATACATACAGATACTTTTATGCATAAGTGCATAGAAAACATATGTGAAATAAGCACACATGTACTGTCTCCTCCTGTCCCCAGATTCTATAGCCTAACCAAACTGGTGTCTTTTACACAACTCTGCAAAGTTTCACACTGCATATACTAGGCCTTGGAAACCAAAGCCACAAAAAAATCATGTTCAATGAGATGAGAATTTCACAACTGTTCAGCTGAATGTAATCATCCACTGAATTGAATCAAAATTTATCTTGGTAAGAATGGAATAAAACAAAAATTTAAGATTTGGCTTATTGCAAGTCATTTGTACAAGAAAATTCTGGACCCATGCTGTAGATGGTATTCATAGAATCATAGAATCATGTCTTTTTATTTATTTATGTCTTACTCTTTGCACTAAAGGATTTTTCAGGAATTTGAAAGAAATAAAAGCAAGGAAAAATAGAGAATATTCAGTAAAACACAAATAAAAATTCTGAAAGTATTTTGCATTCACGTCTGGATGCACAGACTTTTATGCACGGCGAGTCTTAACAAGTAGCAATAATTCGTAAAGCCACTGGGGGGCACCAAGTGCTTTAGATTGTACCGCACTGGAGATGGAACTGAAGTCTCACCCCACGGCTTGGCTTCACCCAATTACCCCAGCCCTGCACCTTTGAACCATCAGCTATTCTCCTGAACTGCTTTTACAAAGGTTGTTGCAATCAGAAATAATTAAACCCAATAACATTAAACATTATTAAGTCTGGAGTTCAAACTCTGTAAAACCAAAGGGCTTTTTTAGGTATCACACCTGCTTCTGTGAGTCCAAGAGCTGCACCCACACTCCAAGCGTGGCAATAACTCACAGAAGGACACATTTGTGTCACACATAAGTGGCTTTAGTGCTTCAACTTTCCAAGGCAGGCAGGTAAACTGCAAAAATAAAGTCCTGTTTGGAGAACCACTGGCACTGAATGTCAGGATAGGAAAGGAGGAGAGGTAAAAACTGACAGGCTGTTCTGTGTACAAACCAAACTTGACCTAAGGGTATTCTAACCCTCCAAATGCTTTTGATTTCGACATTTGTGTCATGCTGTGTCCCTGGCATTAGTTGGTGTCCCTGCCCATGGCAGGGGGGTTGGAACTCGATGATCTTTAAGGTCCCTTCCAACCCGAACCATTCTATAATACTATGATTAACTTAAAGTTGACAATCAAATACTATTTAACCTTTTAAAATTATTTCATTTAATGCTGTTACATAATTAAAAAAAAAGTGGCCATACACAAACCAAATCCCATTCTGTTTCTAGCAATATCATTTGGACAATCCTTTTATCATGTGGGTTCCAAAAGTAAAAGAAATTACATGGACTGTGTTAGTGGCCTGGTGTGTAGGAATGGAATACCAGTCCTTCTCTTCACAGTGAAATTTAACAGATTGAAGGTCCCTAAAGGAGCTCCCTAAAAGGAGCTTGTAAGGAATTTTTGTGCATCACTATGTCAGGTAAATAACCATTTCTCTCCTGCAGTGAGAAGGAAAAAAAGAAAGGGATCTAATTCATTTAGCTATTCATAATCACTAACCACTAATGGGAGCAGTAAACTTGTGAGGCATGAAGATTTATATTTTTAAAAAATCTGTATTTGTGTATGTGTGAATATAAGTATAAATAAAAAGTATAAGTAGAAATAAAAAGTGTAAGTATAAATGCTCCTGCATTGAGGTCTTTAAAATGAGTTTTGATTTTTGGGCAAAACCTTCAAGAAGTAAAACAGGTTTTGATTGAAGGGAGCTTCTCTGAAGCATCAGAGTACATTAATGTGTATATGCAAATAAGCATACCTGCCTAGCCTTGATCACCTCATGCTTTTCCTCCTAGAGATTTCACCTCTCTGCCTGCCTTAGCTCACATCTCACTATGCTCTGAAGGAAAATGCTGTTAAAAGAGTCTTCTCAACAGCCACTGGGACTGTGCCACTCCTCAGCTGAAATGCTGCTTCTGGCACTGTGGTTCTGTACAGTTCCAGTTTCTTGGTCTCTGCTGTTAATTTTTAATGGAATTCATTATCCGGGGTGAAGAAAGAAGGATGCAGTACACTGATTTCTTCTGGTCCTGTGAAGAATTCCTCTAAATCTGAATATTTGTGGGCATAACATACAAAAACATTAACAGCTAAATTTCTCAAATTACTTCTGAGTTCTTTGATAAGACTTAAACCAACAAAGGAGTAATATATGGCCAAGTAGTTTGCAAATGGGCCGTTTTCAAATGGACCATTTTACAAATGGGCCATTTGGGTTTCACATTTATACTGATTGAGTGTTTGGAATCAGTCCAGAAGACTGTTACTGTTGTTGGTTTCACCCTCTTTGTACATCTTCTCTGCGGCTTTAGGTCTTACCTCCAAAATTTATATTTTTCTCTCCCCACATCCTTCAAAGATGATTGTCCTCCCCTTTGCCACTGCTTTAAAACCTATACTTTGCAATAGGTTAATATTACATGTTGTGTGGGAAAGGAGTGCATAACTGGAAGGTTTGGAAAACAAAAGAAGTTACTGTATCTGAATCCAAGTGACACATTCTCATGTCACAGAGTATTTTAGTTCCTAAATGCCTTCCTCAGTACAAGCAAATGCCAATGCCAGGTTGCAGTGGTTATCTAGTCATTTTGATGCAGAGCTTAAGGCTGCAAACATAACATCTTTTCTTAACAGACATCTTTTTCTTAAAACATACCAATATAAGATAAAAAAGCCGAAGAAAAAAAGTAAAAAAAAAAGAAAGAGACAAATTTTTTTCTGGCCGTTTATACTCAGAAAAAAAAAAAAAAGAAAAGTTTGTGAAAAGACTGGTACAGATATGTTTGGTCTTCCATATAGAAGTGTGTTAATCACACAGCAAACAGGGTGGCTTCTTAAGGATATGCAGTGGTTTTTCCCTCTATATTCTGTCAGAAGCTCATCATGTTGAAAATTTCAAATCACCTTGTAAGTAACACCTGGCTATGCAAAAGAAACCTAACTAGAAGCCTAAAAATGCTGGATAAATCTTCCTACAGTTTTCTACAACTTAGGAGCTGAAGTGTCCTTTTTCTTTTTTTCCTAGGTGATCACAGGATCTATATTGGGATTTTTATAAACTCAGGAAAGAATTGAAGTCCTGGGTCCCAAATCTCTCAATAAGGCCCAGGCCTGCAGCTGACCAGGCATGCCTTAGCTGCTGTTGTACAGCATGAACAGGAATGACATGCCCTACACACAGATAGGTTGACGTATGAAAACCGTGTGCAGCCTACATCCCAAACGTAGGCGTCCCCTTCCCCAGGTTCCAACCCAAGGAGCTGTTTCAAACCTCTGCTCTTTTGCCTGGCCCTGTGTGTCCAGCCCTTCCTCTGGGGCATCTCCTTAATAACACAACAGAGAGAGAGAGCACTTCTCCACGCTTCCCCAGCTCCAGCCACTCTGCTCTCCACTTGAAGGCTGCAATTCCTCCTTCTGCAGGTCTCTTCTCATTCTACCTACGTCCACTCTCTGACCCACTGTAATAAATGCAGTTTCACAAATAATTCCATCAACTACAGGGCTTCCCTTAGAACACAGCTGTAAGCCCCAGGTACACAAGACAGTACCAGCTATTCCCTTCAAGGATTGCCTTTGCCAGCAATGGGGATATAAAAGCTGTTATTTGCAAGATGCTATGACGTGTACAAGAAAGCCAAGCACTGGGACGAGCAATGTTAGTGAAGTTACCAAGTGATGTTCAGTTCCAAATTACTTCTTGTTTGGAAACTTGTCTAGAAGTTTGAAATCATATACCAGTATCAGGCTGGTTTACATACTTCATTACTACACTACCAAAAGAGAAGTCACCACAATAAATCTAGAACCAAGGATAATTCCTGAGAAGAGAGGAAAATTGGGAAGATATGAAACACATTTAAAAATGTTATTTTGCAGCTATTGATATAACTTTACCAACATGTTTGCAAGCTTGCAAGCGATATCTTAAGTATTGCTAGAGGAGGGAGCCAATGAAATGCAATTATTTCTTGAAATCTAAGTTTAGTAGAGAACTTCTGGAGATAGAGCTTTCTTTTAAAGCTGCTTTGGAACCCACTGAATTTAATCATCACTCATCTAGGAGAGGGGAGTGGTGTGAGGAGAAACTAACTTAACGGTTCCAGTTTGACAGATGTATACAGCGACCCAAATTCTGCACTTAATTACCCCTCTTGCCCTTTCAAAGTTGCAAACATAAGGTCATAACTTATTTTTCTCTGTACACCAGGGAACACTCTAGTCCTTACTGAAATATTAAACATACACATTGAATTTAACAAGTCCTTGGAAATCTAACTGTCTGAATTACCTTTACAAATAACGGAGAATATTAGAATTTTGCTTTGGAGTCAGTATCTTCAAGAAAAGATTGATTTGCTTAGCCCTCCTGAACTATGTTATCACGGAAAGTTTTAAAAAATGATCTTAAGCTACGATTATAGCAAGACAAGCGCTTTTTGGCAGGGGAGTCAGGGAAATGTTTGGGAGACAGGGAAAGAGGGAACTTGTGGAATGTAAATACTGACCTGTGGAAATCAGTCAGATAACAGGCCAAGTAATTAATATAGGGTTTCCAAGCCTCTGTTTTCCCAGTGAGAGATTTAGCCCTACTTAAATACTTGGCATCATATTAATTGCAGTCTCCAGAAATCTAACCTGAGAGAGAAAACCACTAGAAACTCTAATGGTAGCCTGGAAAAGCGATAACAAACCTTGTATCAGTTTTTCATCAGAAGGATATGTATCAGATTGCCACAAGGGCGACAGAACATCAGGATCGGCACTGCTGTCAGGATTTATTTCTGAAAGCTTCATTACGGATAAAAATCCAATTCAGATATCTGTATACTCAGTTGAAAATTATAGTGTGATAAAAATGAGAAGCAAAGAGGATATCCTTCATCCCAGAATCTTTTCAAATCAGAAGATACGTACTCACACAGCGATTTTACGACAGTGGAAAAAGCCTTTCTTAGGAATCAATCTGTTTAGTACAACAACAGAAAGGAATGTGTGTCTGCAGAGAGTTTGGTATACTAGACAAGACTCTTAGCTAATGGATATTTTTGTAAATATTTAGAGCCAAGTCGTGGATCTCCCCTCACTAGAAGTTTCCCTAAACTTCATAAATATGAAAGATATGCTTGAATTTGACTTTACTGCTACAGAGGAAGTATATACACAATTTAGACTGGCGCCAGGTGTGGTTTTTAGTGATAAAAACCCCGGTCTTTTCACAACAAGAATAAACTTGGTACTTATTCATAAGAAAGTTAACGAACTTCAAATTGTGCACATTTAAAAAAAAAAAAAAAAAGGTGGATTTTAAACAGGAAACAAAGAAACAGCAAAGGTGGACATGCCCAATAAGCTACTGTATCACAAATGCAGCCCAACAACCTGAATCATAACCTAAACATGCTATTAATGCATGCACATTAACAAAAGAAAGAAGTCGTTAATAAACTTTTTTTTTTCCCCCCAATAAAACCATTAAAGTGCTCTGGCTTAATTTCAGAGGGAACTAGGGAATTGTAGAAATTCCAAATTCCTAGACTTGTCTTCTCTATAGATTAACACAAATCAGGTGAGAGTTTCCATCCTGCCATGATGTGAAATTGTGATACCACATGGGGCAAAGAAGCAGTACCCCTATTGAACCCAGCTGTCCCAAACCTGTTGTCTGTGCTTTCTGCTGCGTACAGAAGTCATGGAGAGTAGATTGGTGGCAAGCTCACTCACTTTCCCTTGCTGTCCCACCACAGGTTACCCAAGAAAGCAAACCCCAGTCACCTTGCGGATGTGCTCCTGCAGTCCCGTGACCCCGTACATCCTCAGCACGAACCAGAGCTTCAGGGAGCGGAACCTCCTCCCCAGGGGGATTTGCCAGTGCTGCGAGCAGGGGAGAAGGGAGGGCACCCGCGTTAGAACTCACCCTTACAGTGACACTGCAGAAATTGTACCTTCTGCAATGATTTTGAAGCACAATGCATTCCCACATCCCACAGGCAGTCACTATAAGTGGGTCAAATGATAATAGAAATGTCTATTTCTGGTTAGTGCCCTGGTGTGACTGTCAAATACTGAAAATTTTCAAATTAAAATTGGAAAAGGAGATTGGTGTCGGAATGGAAGGGTCACAAGGCAAATCAAATTTTCTTTGTGCATCCTGAATTCTCCTTGAGGGCTTTGGAAAAATGAGTATCATCTTAGAAGCTCACATACACTGGCTTGCTTATAGTTGAGGGACTAGCAACTGCAATGACAGGCACATTTTCCATTTCAAAACAACAGTGTTTCTATCGGTTAAAGGGTAAAACACAAGTACTTTTAAAAAAATGCATTATTCACTATGTTAAGGAAAAAAAAATCTTTAGGACATTTCATTCTACTGCCTAAATCTAGAGATATTACACATGCAAGATGATTTCTGCTTTTAAACTTTTTTTTTTTTCCCGAAAAATTATAGTTTAAATTTTCAGCTTGAGCAATGTTAAAAATTTAGCAAGCTGCATCCCTCCTGGAAAGAAACATAAGGTTTTTATGTTTATGATAATAATGGAAAATAAAATAGAAAATAAAAATCCTGGGAATATCGGTGTATACAAGTAATAGTATTAATTATTACATTGATGTTGTACTTACCCGATAATCTGTTATAAGTCCTGGAAGTTAAAGAAAAAATGTTCACATTGCTTCATCACAACAGCCAAAACCCACAATCATTCTAGTGCTATTGAAAAAGCTGTATCTTAGCTATCCTTTATTTTTGCTAAAAACCTCAGCATCATCAGCGTCAATGGGGCCACTAAATACCTAGTAGGATACTTGGCAAGTGCCGAATGAAGGCGCTTGTCCCAAGCTTCATTCCTTAGCTAGTCACTAGCTAACCACTAGCCACCACACCACTAACAAATTAAACAGTTTTCAGAAGAACAAACACAATTTTCCTTTCTGTTATACTTCAGATCCTGGGGAGATGAGGGACTAAATACTATGTTTATTTCTCTCTTGTGAGGAAATGAAGTAGTAGATAAAATGGCAATTATTAATTTTGTTTGAAAGTTTGCAGAATCCCTAAAGTCACTTCATCACTCATCCTCTGCTTCTAACTATCTTTCATACTCACTCATATATTTGTTGCTAATTCTTCAGCAGGTCTAATAAGTGACTTGAAAATTTCATTCAGAATTGACCTCTTTCTGTTAGGAGAAGAGTATTCTGCTTTTTTCTTTTTTTTTTTAATGGCTTTTCATTTGATATAGTGAAAGCCCCTTAAAAACACAGGTTGACCATGCCACAGAGCAGTCCAGGGAGGTAAGCAGAGGGCGTTATTAGTTATCTTTTATCTGAGCACACAGAGTCAAGATGCACCTACCTTTTTTTTGAATCAGGTAAATACACTGAATTGTAACATAAAGCTGGATTACTTGCAGCCAGTGACAGAAATTAAACTGACCTAAAATTTAAAGTGCCTCTTTACGAAAATGTGGAAGCATCTGGTTAGCTTTCTTATTCCATTTTATTATTCTGCAGGGGAGCATAAACTTCATAGGAAAGTATGTACTTAAATTCCAAGGGAAAGTGCTAAGTGCTCCTGGAATTGCGAGCTGCAAGGTACTATATAGAACTGTAACTTCTGAATTCGAGCAGTTTACATCATTTATGTAGTTTTCAGCCTTTGTATTTTCTGGGGGTAAAAAGACTGTATTTCCTGTGTTACAAGCTCTCTCATCTACGCAGCCAAAACATGAGAAAAACCATGGTCTTTCCTCCCTGCAACCATTTGGTTCTTTAACATATTACTAGGTTATTTTCCAGATTAAAAAAAAAACCCACCGCACAACAATCATTAACCTGTTCCTGGACTTCAGGAAATGAACAGGGTTATCTCAGCTCAGTAACGAGGTAATTTGATAATACTCATATTCTTCTGCATTGTAGCAGCCATTTTTTTGATAGCTGCAAGACTAGTAGCAAAGAGAGTAAAGCAACTGGTGACAGATAAATAATCCTACGCTCCTGTAAGGGGCTATGTCTAATGATCCACAACAACGCCTTTCACAAGCTGTGAAGCAGAATGCAATCAATGATCAGTCCTTGATTACAAGCCTTAATCTTACATCTGTATTTAACCAGGAGGAACTGCATTGTGGGAGCATATGTGGCTTTCACAATAGAGTATAAAGCTGCATTCTTCTCACACTGCCATTAGGATTTGACCTATATCCTGGGTTGCCAGGCAAGCTAGCATAATCTTCCTGGTGTGATGATGCAAATCACATAAAATTATAATTAATGACAAAATAAAGAATTTCCCCTTGGGGGCACACATAATTGCCATATGGTTATTAAGAGTAATTGCTCACAGATAGATATATTTTTCCGCTCATTTAAATTCTTGAGTGAGAGATGAGTGAATTCAAAAATGCTGCTTCATTTGCCTTGTAAACCACGATGGGAATTCTCAGACCTGAGACATACTCAGAAAGTAAGACCCTCCATTAGACAAGTCCTATTTCCAGGAGTGCTGACATCCCATAAATCACACAGGGATCAATAGGGACTGTAACAGCCTAGAACCTTTGCAAATGTGACTATTTTTATCGAAGGCGTAAGTGTGGATTGAATTTAACAGTTTAACTAGAGGCATTTGGATTTGAAATGTATTGTCCAGCTCTTTGGAAAATTGGTATCAAATGAGAAAACAGCATAGAAAAATTTAGCATCAATAGGCTGCTAGTAACCAGCTGATATATTTGGAATCATTATGTCCAGGTCATACATCATAATATCACAGCTTCTGAAGGCAAGATGAAGGCTGAACAACTTACTATCCAGCAGGGGAAATAAAGTTTTCAGGTCAACTAGGCAGCCTCACTGAAAGCAGCTAGTTTTAAGAGAGGGTTTTTTTTTTCCAATGTTATTATTTAACCTGGTAAAAACCTAAGGTTCTTGCATGAGCACTGTCAGTTGTCACAAGGACATATTTTCACTTTAGTGAAGGTTGTGTTATTTCTCCTCAAGACAAGCATTTTACATATATGTTAATGTTGTGGTTGAGTAAAAGCTAGTGGTTGGAACATATTTACCATAACTTGTATTTTTCATTAACAAGGGCAAAAACACAGTATCTATTTTTTTCTTAAAAATTCTAGCCTTTGGAGGGTGAACCTCAGCTCCAGAGTGACTGCATTTTCCTGTTCATTGATTGTTCTGTCCTACATTCACATTGCTTGGAAATTTCTGCCAGTTCAGGATTAAGGCACAGGAATCCATTTCTCCTAGGGTTTTTTAGTGAATGGTGAAATTCTGGATGGTATTAATGTCAATGTCAATGAATTCATAGCCATACCGGAGAGAAGAGAAAAGTACTCAGGATACACTTCTGAAAACAGATCAGCACCAGCAATTCCAAGAAAAATACAAGAGAGAGTAAATGGTAAGAACACCCACATGTGATACACCCTCTTTAAGAAGTTACGAGGGAACTTGCATCGCATGTTGACACTGCACTGCTGTGACCTTCTTCTCAATTAGTCACTTATTTTCCCAATGTGTAAAAACAGGCTCCAGGATGGCAAATGCCACTCTGCCGTTGCTAGGTGTGCTCAAGGAGCAGCACTAATCCATTAAGGAGCTCTGTACAGCGCCTATGATTTCCAAGTTCTTTGTGAGTGTTTTATGAAGAGCTTTCCTGAGCATTTTGCAAAAGACAGATGGATAGTAGCCTGCACTTACCTCCTCCTCTCCCATCAATGCAAGAGCATGGGAGCAACAGGAGAGCGTCCCAGATAGCTATCGTTCACAACAGAGCACAGATACCAAACACAGCTGACCTTTTCTTTGTGATTTCAGGGGGTGTTTGTTCCTGACATGAGTGTTTGAAAATTTGAACCAGAGCTTGCGTGCATAGCTAAGAAAAAAGGTCACAGACTTTAGAAACCCTAAAAACAAAATCAGACCTTGAAACCTTTCGGGAGAAAGATACACAGTACCCAATATTTTTACCTGACTATCAAAAGATCATTAAGAATTTTCTCAACACTCCTACAAAGAGTCAGTGGTAAATCTGGAGCTGGGGAAATCCCAGTACAAAAGTATTAATATAATGCTTTATAAAATGGCTTTCCATCAATTGCTTTTTACATTAACTAAAATCTCACTAGATATGTGCTTGCACTTTAATAAGCTTAACTCCTCGGGGCACTTTGAAAATGGAAATAGGATCCTAAACAACTTAGGTAGTTTTAAGAATTTCAGTTTTCATCTGAAAACCTTTTTTCCATTAAGTATCAGCGTGCAAACAAAATAATAATTTCGTTTAGTCATAAAATTACCAGACTCCTGATGATGATGCTGCAGGTAAAGAGGTTCCAATTTAAAGGCACCTGTTAAATCTGATCTTTTTTTCACCCTGTGTAAAAAGAAGAAAAAAAAAAGAAATAAAATCGAGAAACTTAAGAATTTAAATTTAAGGGATTATATTTCCACAAGAAGTGAAGGCAAATTGAATGTGTTTAAACTGGCGCATTTCCTGAGCACAGCCTGTGCCATTTTCAGTGCTTTTTCACAGCCATATCAGTACTGTACTTACAAGTAGTTAAGTGTAAGGCTCAGCAGGAACGGGCAGCATGACTGCACGGCTGCATATTTAAAAACAGACAAGAAACAGACACAGAGGATCTTTTTATGGTGATAGACACTCACACCAGAATGTGAGACTAGCTAAAGCAATGTTAATGTTTGCAGTCAACAGAAGTTGCCATGAAATTACTGCAGTACAAAGCTGTGTGGGAAGAGCTGTGGCTTCCTAGACGCCGTGCACAGCCGCGCCGAGGCTCTGTGGGTGCTGCCCGCCGTCTCTCCATGCTGCAGTGGTGGCAGCAGCAGCAGCAGCCACCCAGCCCAGGCTCAGGCTTCTCTCTTGTACTCCCCTGCCCTCAGCTGGATCCAATATACAGTTACTGACAGACAGACAACAGCACAATGTAAAACTGAGAAGCGTACCTTGCTATTGCCAGCTAGGGGGGTGGTGTAACTGGACTGAGGTTCAAAAGCCAATGTGTCCCTTCTAGAGAGAATAAACTACATTTTGCCAGTGGGTAATAGCAAGATTTTGCTGGTTCATGTTTCACTCTGTATGAGATCGACTCACCTCTACAAATGATGGGGTTTATAGAGGAAGAAAAAGAAGAAACCAGAAATCAAAAAGGGAGAGATGGCTACATAACTGTATTAGGCCTATACATATTTCACCAAGTACATAATAATTATGTCAATATGGGGACACTCTAAACGACAAAAGTCTAAACCTTTTACGATTTTCTGCACATCTCTTTGTTTTATGCAAAATTCTAAGTAAAAATCTAACTTCCAATGCTTTAGTGTGTACATATAAATGCACAAGCCAGTACATACTGCCAGTCTCATCCCCATCTAGACTGTGCTCATAAACCATCTAATTCAAACCAAAAAAAAGCCCTTCTCTCATTTTAATGGTCAGGACACCACCAAGGTTAATAAAGTACTTGCCTTAGGTGTGGAAAGAACATAGCTGAAGATAAGTAAGCCAATGCACATGAGAAATAGTAACACACATTCAGAATACTGTCAATAAAACCAATTAATAATCTATTTGTGTGTTGAAAATATCCTGTGGTCAAAAGAAAGAAACTATTATCTGAAAGCAGGTTTAATTAGGGTAGGTATTGTGACAACAAACCCTAAGCTGTTCTACTGTAGTTTATTTGATATATTTGATTACTTTGATATATTCATTTCAGTAGCTTGCTCCATACACAACTAACCCAAGGTACAAGCAAGTTGTCTTGTGAGAGCTTCATTCCTTGTCTTGTAATACGCTGTGCTAAACCATGGAACATCTAACTATTCTGCAGGAACATCTGGTCACTTAGAAACTATAAAAATGCTGTCATCTTGCACTTCCTTAGTGATGTTACTGCTTTTTTGAAAGATGGTGTCTGTTCCATCTGGGGACTTCACAGGTCCTAATCTGGCAACCATGAAAAACTATCTAAAAGGATTACCAAAATAAATCCAAAGCCTGGACATCAGTGTATATGAACCAGTTGAATTGCACGTCTATACACCGTATCTAGATTTCACTCTATCTATTTATACTTTTCTGCAGTAAGTGCCTGTGTGGTCTGGTAATGGACAGAAGTGGTGTTCTTAACTTTCTTTGCAAATACCCCTGATTGACTGAAGAATCATGAGTATATATTTCAAAAATGTCATTGATAGAGTAGAATGTTTTTAAGGGCTGATGTTATGCTAATAGACATACTAAGATCTAGCTTGAGTGGCACAGGTTCACATATTAAGTACTCATAATACAAAATGGACAGCAAACATCCTGGTGAATGAAGTAGTGAAAATCTGTGAAAAGCAACTAACTTGGATTTCACATCTGCAGCTTTTAACAGCTTCACTATATTCTGTCCATTTTAAATGACAGATACAATAACCAATAAAGTGACTTCATACTATAAACTAACCAGAAAAAATCATTCCCATCTACAGATGAGTATTTCCTGTAAGCACCTTCCTTCCAAATACTAAAACAACCTTCTGAACCAAAAGTTAACACTTAAACCCTGAAGAGAGTAATAGAAAAGCAAATATACCAAGATTTTGCAAGATTATTATTTTCACTCTCTCTGAAAAAAAGACACTTTTTCCTATTTTATGATATTCTAGAATACCAATTAAACAAGTCAGGCAAAACTGACTGATAGTTTCAAGGCAAACTCTCTAAAGGGCCCTAACATTTGAATATGGAAAATATATCCCTCTTGGAATGGCTATATTAAATTCCTTTTTATAGGAAATTCACTGCTCTTTTCTGTACATCTGTATATCAAGAAGTCTGAGAATATTTTACAAAAGGTTTATAATGAAATTGCCTCCAAATCCCAAATGACATCAGTGCTACATATTGCACTGAGTAGTTAAATAATTACATTGCAGATCTGATGGCTAGATTATCTTAATCAACTCGCAGGGAAAAGAAATGGGAGTGTTTATTGAGGAAAGTGCTGAGGAGCCTGGGTGATTTAGAAGCCTGTCTGTCAGTGGAACTCAGCTTAATTTGATTCTGAAATGGTGTTCACTGTTTATTAAACTCTTTAAATATTATTACAATATCATGGTTAATACTTTCCATGGATCCTAAGAGGACGGTGTATCCTTCACAGTTACTTTTCCTCACCAGGTTCCTTCATCCTTTATTACTACATTTCACCTTTTCAGGCATGATTACAGCTGATGAAAGAGGTGAATTTTGGATGGGGGCCTTAGTAGTTGGATGGATTTGGCTTCAAGCCAAAGTATTCAACTTTAAATGTATACTTCATTCTTTATTAAGTGAATACATAGATGCCTTGCTGAAATGAAGCCTGAGTGGTTGTGAATGAAGCCTGAATATAGTTGTGAAACTTTCTTTTTGAGTAAGGAGCAGGGTCTCTTGAGATTCTCTGTAATGGAATCTTCCTGCCTATGAAAAAAATGCATTTCATGCAATGGCTTACCTAAAAAAAAGCAAGAAACAAAATGGAGAAAAATACTTTCTAGAGCGTAAAGTCTAAGCTTTGCTAGGAACCAGCTAAAATCGCCTGAGATGGGAACATAAACTAAGAGGCAGTGTGATTGTATATACCTTGTTTTCCTGAAAAGCCAAGTAAAATACTTATAACACAGCTCCATAGAGTTTCCAGGGAAAGTAGAATTATTGAGAAATTAAAACTGGTAAGGACTAGACTCTGGCCTCTAATGGTCCTACAAACATTAAAGAGAATGACGGGGTATTTTCTCATTTCCAAGTGGCTACTTTGTTAACAATGCCTTTAAGTGATGAAGAAAAGATGAAAGAAACTAGCAAAGGAGTTCCATCATCTTCCTATTTCCATGTACAAAGAGAGACAGCTAGTTATGAGATACTTGTAAACTGGAGTGTTGGGTTAATCACTGCCACTACTGATGAATCAGGATCAAAATGTAAGCCATTTACTCTAGGGAAAAGAATAAAAAAACATAATGGCTTGGAAAATTTGAAGTGCCTACATCAGGAAAACTATTAAGTAAAAAATGTAACATATTATCTGAATAATATGCATATTTGTAGAAAAGTCAACTTTGCTGAGGATATTAAAAGAGCTGAAGGTTAACAAAAAGCAATTGAGTCATCACTGTCTCACTTCTTTTATATAAGGTGACCTTTTTCTCGATGATGTTTTAGAGTTATCTTTGATAACATTCAGTTTTTCCTTCTTTTTTTATTTTTGCAACTTTTGTTCTATTGTAATTGAAATTAATGTTTTCATGTATTTTGATAAATATTCTGAATAGCTGTTTTGCTAATAAGTATCATTAGTCATGATGCTGGTAGACACTAGGTTCTGGAAATTCTAGTTTGGGACACAGTAGATTAATCTATTATGGGATGTTATTATTACTGCGATTATTACTGCTATCACACTTTTCTTTGTTTGTCTACTGGTTTCTACCAGTATGTCTTCTGGTTTCTACCTCAGTATCTTTTTGGATCAAAATCTTGTCTCCGCTGTCATCTGGAGAAATTGAAAATCAGTACAAAATTGCATAAATAATCTTTTTTGAAAACAATTGCTTTTCATCAGCCAAATCCCAAGCATTTCAAGAAAGGCTTTTGAAAGAATCAAGGCTCAAACAAAAAGAAAAAAAAAAGCTCTGTCTAACATGCTGTTCATTGCATTAACATTCTTAAATGAAGTTTTTTCATTTATGTTTTAAACAGTCCCAAAATGGAGAAAGTATGAATCTGCAGACTTTTCAGGCCTTCTCTCTCTCTCTGGAACATAATGCAGAGCTCAGGCCTATTTCTAAATTTTACTTTTTGGAAACTTGGATTAAATGAAAGAGTGAATTCTGTAAATAATTTACAAGAGTTAAAGCTATCCAGACCTCCTTATTTCAATAGAGAAATGTAAATAAATGTGTACTGCTAGAAAGGCAGACTGATTTAACATGTGATTTTTGTCTCGTGTAATGTTTTCTGTTACTGTAATACTTACCACATAGCAGAGCAGTCAAAATTCACTAGGAGCCATTTGTGGGGATTAAAGTTAAATGAATCTGCAAACTGAGAATGGATAAATAAACAAAATTATGAAAGAGAAAAAGATCCATGTGCTAATGATACAACTTTGTCAACTTGTCTGAGTACACCTTAAGTACAAATCAATTAATGAATTGGGGCTTTTTAGGTAACATCCATGCTGACGTCACCTTATTTTATAACTATTGTAATTGTATCTTTACTTATTTGGGGGCTGAAATTTAGGTTAGTTGTGCATCTAGGCTGTTGATATTATCAATATTTTGAGCATTTTCCAACAATTATACTTTTTAGATACATACTATACATGTCAGTGTAAACTAAAAAACACCCACTGTAGTTCATATCCCAATTTCCAATAACAATTCACTAAGCTTTCTATTTCCAAGAATATTAAACATATACCCACAAAATTCATACACAGACAGAAATGATATATTTAGTTCAGAATCTGCATATCACATTCATTCACTAAATTGCAACTGACCAGGAAATTACTTGGTGTTTTTTTTACTGTCAGTGTATTTTCTTTTAGGAGAAGTCATTTTTTCATCTAAGTCAAAAGAAAAACCAACAGAGAATAAGCATTCACAAAACACGTTTACATAAATCATGTCTGTTAAGTAGGCCCATTTTATGTGACATATGTTTAAGCGTGGCATCAGAGGAAACCCAGGCAGGTAAGATGGACATCACGTGGGAAAGGCCTCGTCCAGGTTTTGTGTGTTAACAAAGGCAGAAGCCATCAGCCTTAAAAAAGAGAAACGATGGGACCTGGCAGCACCGGGGTCTGACTACTCCATAGAGCACTTTTCTCATTTGCTTCTCATAACCTTCCCTGTCACTTGTAAACAATTAACAGTTGCTCTCATAAGAGGAGATTATCTGTCTGTCTATCTATACATCTCTCTAGCTACATCTCCCTGTATTATGAAAGGTAAGAAACCTATCCATGGTTGTTAAATATTTACTCTTATGACAACTGCTGGCTCAGACGAGGTATGCTGTTTCATTTCCTTCAGGAACCAATAACAATAATTTAAAAAATATTCCCCCACAGGAAATTACAACAAGCTTCATTTGCTGATAAAAGAGAGACAGAAAGAAATGCTTTATTTGTTAGGGGGGGTTTCCCTCCTCTTCTTCATTAGTTACTACCTATCAGTGCTGTGTTTAAACTTCTGGCTTTACCAAACAGTAATATTTTCTCCACTGACATGGAAGACAAGGACTTATCTGACTGTCTGCGGGGAGCAGCAGGAAATTGAAGTATTCTTATCTAAGCAACTGAATGCCAAGTAGCTCAGCAAGGGGGAAGGAAAGGAACAGGAGTACTGTTGAAGGAATATTTCATTTAGCTCTCTTGGTTATTAAACCCTGTCTGCTTGAGATGCAGCTACTGGTTATGTTCTATGTGACTTTCAGGATGTAAGCAAAAAAATGAGACATAATGAGCTCATTAATTTGTTGAATATTTTTTTTCTTTTTTTTTTTTTTGTGTGTGTGATGTAGAATCAGGGCGATATAAATGTGCCTTTTGGAAATTTGGGAAAAAACTTCCTCTTCTATTTTGTAAGATACTTTGTTGATTCACTACTACTTGCTATTCTGAGTGACAAACTGCATACTTTGGTAACTTGCCTACTCCCAGAATAAACCAGTACAAATTACATAAACATAAGTAATGTAATAGAATGTAAAGGGATTTGTAGCGCAAACTGAAGTGCAGTGTACTCAGAGATTCTAGAAGAGCTATTTATGTTGGATGCATAAGAAACAAATTCTATTGAAGAGCATGGTTTTAGCAGGCTGCTAGAGAAGAAACACTTCATTCACCTCCACTCCGTTTAAGAGATGCCTGAATTCAGGGCAGATGAATGCACTCCCAGCATAGGCTGCATCAATATGCATCCAGATATTTTCCTTATTACCTTAAAAAAAAAAAAAAGAAATTTTTTTTTTTTTTTTTTTTTTTGTGTGTGTGATGTAGAATCAGGGCGATATAAATGTGCCTTTTGGAAATTTGGGAAAAAACTTCCTCTTCTATTTTGTAAGATACTTTGTTGATTCACTACTACTTGCTATTCTGAGTGACAAACTGCATACTTTGGTAACTTGCCTACTCCCAGAATAAACCAGTACAAATTACATAAACATAAGTAATGTAATAGAATGTAAAGGGATTTGTAGCGCAAACTGAAGTGCAGTGTACTCAGAGATTCTAGAAGAGCTATTTATGTTGGATGCATAAGAAACAAATTCTATTGAAGAGCATGGTTTTAGCAGGCTGCTAGAGAAGAAACACTTCATTCACCTCCACTCCGTTTAAGAGATGCCTGAATTCAGGGCAGATGAATGCACTCCCAGCATAGGCTGCATCAATATGCATCCAGATATTTTCCTTATTACCTTAAAAAAAAAAAAAAGTAATTGAAGGGGAAATAAATTAAACAGCAAATTTAAAAGCCCTGTTACTTTGCATGAAACCAAGTGCCTGAGAGATTTTTCTTTGATGTTATTATTTTCCCAATTTAAAATTGAATTAAGAGATTAAATGTTTCTGCCATCTGGGTTTCTGTTAATACATAAAGATGTATACATACATATTCTTCTTCATCCCCACTTCTCCTTACATGTCTAGGTTTATCCTATTAATATTAACCAACTTAAAGCATTAAATTATATTGATTTAAGAACCATTATAAATAAACACTTTATATTAATGTATCTAGAGATGTAGTTATCATTTCTATGGTAGTAAAACTATCTGCTTTGATAAAAGGAGCTAGAGTTTTAGCTGTTCTTCTAAGTCATGAATCACAAACAAGTTTCTAAACAGTGTTCTTTACATATTGATATGTGTGCATGTGCATACATTTGAACTATGTACAGCAAACTATTTATTTCAAGGACCAAGACACTTATGCAAGAGCAAGCATTGAAAGGTTAAGAAAGTGCTAGTTTTGATGAGTCACTGCATGGTTTCTGCAGCAATATTTTAGCATATGAACCTCTCATGTATTCTCTGTAATTTAGTGTTCACAGTCTGCTATAGATCACCTGTATTAATGTTCATGGTAACAATTCTGGTCTATGAGTTGATGACGGAAGCCCACATAACATTTTTACATTGGTCACCAAATAATTCTGATGGGTAGTTCCACATACAGAGGTATATCCACAGAGATCTGCAATTTGGCACCAAATTCATGCTGGAATGTTCATTCTTGTGAACTACATTGTCTTTTTGCATAAATGTCTGGGAAAAGCTAATAAAATATTATTCATAACATCCACAACACGTTTATTTAAAAACATGTTCAAAGTTCAACTGATTATTTATTTTTAAATGTACTTGATTTGAGACACTTTATGTCATAGGACTACTGCTCATGTATATTAAGAAGGAAATTCACCTGCACACAGAAAAGCTAGAATGAGACTTATGATTTGAGTAGTGCCTGATCCTTCTGGTGGTCTCTGCTGCACAAGGAGGAAATCATTGAGAGCAACCAGTGAAAAACACATGGTAAGTTTCTATATCAAAAAATATTGCTGTCACTATTTTATTAGGTCACACCTATGGAAATAATCTGAATAGGAAAATAATCTCTAGCTTCTAAGCAGACTATTAGAAACCTTTTTAGAAAGAAGGACTGGGAGAAACTGTGTCCCTGGGGCTTCTGCTGAAGGGCAGGAAACCTCACAGATCAAGTCACCACCATGAAAACCCCAAATGTTTTAGCCCCCACCTGAATAAATTAACAGAATATCAAATCTATCTGTGTTTCTATGAGGCTGCTTCCAATTGCTTATAGCTATAAATTTCTGGTTCTTAATGTACATCTGAATAGATATGGTGCATTTTGGTTGTATTTTCATCAGCCAGCAAGTGTGAGCTTTTGCCCAAACCTTGCTGCAGAGCAAAGCGTGACACACAACACAGAACATACCATACATAACAGACTGTAACACAGAAGCACTTAGGAAAAGTCCATGACTCAGCCACAGTACTAAACATCCTGGTACTTGTCCTGTTTTCTTGCAAGAGGAAGGAATTTGGGGAAGGAAGAAGAATTAAGGAGAATACATGTTGATTTTTGGTGCGTATTTCCCTGCTTTTTATAGTCGTTAGAACTGGACAGAAACAAACAAACTGGGTGCAGAGGAGAATTAGAGTTCAGCTTTTCCCTGATCTTCACCACTGCTCTAGATATGGTTGCAGGCGGAAAGGCTTGAAGAAAAAATGTTACAAAATGAAGCACTTACAGTATTTTTTAACTGACAGTGTTCCAAAGTATGCCCTTCCCCAAAAAAACCCTTGAGGCAATGGCCTTTTTACTCTTTAATGGTTTGAGAATGCAAGCTTGCTGCTTGACCTAATATTAGAAAGAAAACTGTAACTGAAGGTCTCATCTATAAGCAGCCTTATTGCATTTGGACACTGATGCTGCATAAGGACCTGGAAATGACTCAGCGTGGCTTAAACTGGTAGCTGTAATTTTAGAAAGTAGCAGCAAAGACTTACAAATAGGACCCAGTTCTAACAGTTTGTCAAAGGAGCAGCAAGGTGTGGTTCCAAGAGTTGCACAGAACTGCAAAAGCCAAAAAAACAAAGGCAAAAAAAATTAAGTGTTAAATTAAGTGTTATAGCAAAGAAAATTATCAAATGAAAAAAACTGTCTGCAAAGGCAACAATAAACAGATAGAATAGATTATATAGGACAAAGAAAAAATTTTACCGATACCTCTCCTTCAGAGGAACTTTTGAGAATCTGATTTTTTGTTTCAAAGCTTCCATAAGCATCCATTGAGACAGATGCATAAAATCAAATGTTAATTTAAAATTGACTGATGCGTAACGTAATATAGTCACATTATTATATTAATACTATATTTTATATATTTTCAGTGTGTTCCACTTGCTTATCCTGTGGCCCAATACTAACCCCACATACATAATTATCATCAAAATGATTTGCAGTTTGTGGTGTATAAGCAAGCTCTGAACTTCAGAAACTTAAAGGTGCTGGAATTCCTGTTGACAGAATGGATCGTAAAATGATACTGCCAGAATTAAAGAGCTACGGGTCTGTAACAGAGACTTGTAACTGGTTTGTGCTCAATAGATCAGCAGCCTGGGACCTGTTCACTAGTAGCATATGTTCACTATTAGATTTGCAAGGCTTTTTCCCAGAGACATTTTTTCTTCCAAATTCATCCTAAAATACTTGAACCATTCTTCCATCATTCTGTTGATGTTTCATTTAATGTATCCTGCTGCATGATCAGTGAGCCAAAAGCAGAGGCAACATAAATGCTGAAGTTTCACAGTAGAAAGGTGAAAATGAGCTATGGTAATTTGCTGGGAATATGCAGGTAGAATTATAACCCCCAAAAAACAACTAACAAGTGCATATAAACTGACATTATTTTATTTTTCATTGCTACACTTAGGTTTTAAACACCCTGTCCCATTTTTATATGCACTAATAAAGGCTGGGTCTGGTTTTTGCCTTGTACTGGATTTTTATATAATAAAAGACACTTTACAGTTTAACTAGGCAAATCAACTATGCTGCTTTTTAGTTAGAGTATTGAAGTACAAAGGAATTAGATCATTTATCCAAGGTCACACATAAACTATAGTACAGTGAGGAGATGACTGTAAATATGTAAAATCCAGAATTTTGGGGTTTTATTTTTGTACTTTTGGTTACTTTTTCTGCAGAGTACACTGTCAATGCACTATCTTTTGCTTTCACTGTTTATCCCTCCATATCTGCAACTAGCCACATTTTTCATGTGTGTGTGTGTACACAACCCTCAGTTAATTCATGACAAGACTGACAAGAAGACAAAGGAACACCTAGATGATACTTGTCCATGCACTAGACCTTTCAAGAAACACACTATCGCAGCAAAACATAGATTCAATTACGCATTGAAACTCTAAACAGTGCACTTTTGTCTCACAGCTCCATAATGAGTAGGTACACAGGGCCTTTGGGTTCCCTCTCGCAGCAAGAGTGATACCACCAGGAAATGTTTCTAGTGGTTCCTTTCTCTTCATTAGACTTGTCTGGCTCATCCAGCATGCCAATTAGTACCTTCTGTTTCCTTAATGTCTGCTTAGTTTGTCCAGTACAGTAGGTCTTCTGCTATACTAGAGAATGTCCTCACTGAAGAGCAGCATGTGTTGTCATTGCTGCCTTAGCTGTGGAGCTGCTGCAGGATGGGCACACGTTGCTGGTGCCCAGCTGAGAGGTGAAGCTGGTGGCTTAGGTGTGTGTGGGACAGGGCAGATTTTTGGCCTGTTCTGTTACAGTCATCCTGATGTGAGCAAGCACTTCTGTAGGTAATGATTTTGCTCATGTTTACGTTACCTGATGTGGCCTCTGTTTTCAGCTTTTAGTCTCTCTCTCTCTAGCACAACAAGCTTTCTACTTCAGAGAAAAATAATTTCATGTTATTACGCCAGTTGCAAATTGTTTGCCAAAGTCCTATAATTTGTTTTAACATAATATCACTTTTCACTTCTCAAGTGTATGCTCTTTTCTATTCTTCTAGCTTGGACATTCACACGCTGTCTCTTCTGCATTTCACTGATATCCTGCTAATTCATCAAAAGTTAAACAATACCAGCTTTTTCAGGAGGGTCTTTTTTCCTTCTTTTTTAAAAGTTGATACACATTTGCACTAAGCTTTTCTGCTCTAATTAAACAGACTGCTTGATAGCTACCGATATTTTACCTTTTTATTTGTTCTCTTGAACACTTGTCCCCATTCATAAGTTATTACCCCCTTTCAAGCTAGAGATCCCCTTGATTTTTCACTTCTACCAGCCATTGGATATTGGAAACTCTTACAAATCATCTACAGTCATATCTTGAAGCAGGTCCTCTACACATCTTAAGACTAAGAATTGGTTTTCCTTCTGGGGCTTCCCAAACTAGTCCTCCCAATAACTTCTCATGAAGTTTTAACATGTCTTTTCACATTTCCTGTGAAGCTTTTTTTTTTTTTTTCTTTTTTTTTTTTTTTCTTTTTTTTTTTTTTTCTTTTTTTTTTTTTTTCCTTCTTTTCATTCTGCAAAATAAAGTGGCAACAGCACACTAGAAAGGCCTGACGTCTTGGAAAAAATAATCTGATTATCAGACAATGACTTGGATAAATATGATGGGATTTTCATTTGCAAGTTCCAGGTTTTTAGGGAATTCATGCAAAGTGAGAAACTAGACTTCAAAATTTGTAGGAAATCCCACACTAAAATAAACATGCAGTAAAAAGGGCAGGTGGATAAGCATTCAAAAATCCAGAAATTTAAAATTATACATCCAAGAATATCGAACTAATTCAATAACCTATTGCTAGAGAGGTAAAACCTCTCTTTTAAGTACACTTTTGAACATTTCAGCATCTATATTATACCATACACATCAGAAATATTTTAAATTGTTGTAGAGAGATAAATTTTTCCATTTAATGGTAAGCATTCAGATAGTAATCAATTCTATAAATTTACACACACTCTTAGAGGAAGTCATATCCTGCCTTTGTATAGGGCAGACCTGATTAAATGTAGTCATATAAAACCCTGAAAACATTATATCCCTGACAGCACATGTTCTCCCAACTTCACAATTACAGCAAAATTAATAACTATAATCATGTTTCATTGCAGCAATAAAAAATATTGGCTATGGGAAAAGTTGCAATTAAAATAAGAAAGGCACAGTTCATATTTTTGCCATATCAAGCTGCTAAGAACCTGAGTTTAAAACAACTACAGTTCTGAAAATTAGAAGCACATTGAATATATAGTTAATAAAATTTTGCTGCTAACACATTTTTCCCTCAAAATAATCTAATCTTTATCTATACTGGGCCTTCTCTTATTCCTGAGACGCATGAGAAGAACAGCATAATTACAGTGCCTTGAGGTACGTCTATGACTTCTCTGGAAGTTTAATCATCCTTTGAGGGAGGTTGCTTTAAAAAGATTGCAAGATTATTTTTTTTAAAAGGAGTAAGTTTGCTCCCTTTTTTTTTTTTTTTTACTAAAAGGGCATGCATATATGGAGTGAAAATATATTTATCACATTATTGTCTACCCAGGATGTTCCCACAATCAGGAGAAATCTGCATTTCATCTTTGGCTGAACTACAGATCTACAAATTGGGTCACAAGAAATGGAGGATACTACGATGAAAATTCTATTTATTCTATGTCTATAAAGAACAGGGGTTAACCCATTGCATTGGAAAATACCCAAGTAAAGAATGTACTATAGACTTAGGTCTGCTTTTATACGTATGTTTTATGATAATATGGTGTGGACTTTCTGACAAGATCCAAGTGAAATTATCTTGGCTACTCCAGAAATTAAAATAATGATGGAGATTTCACAGCAGAAAGTTACACATTATTGCTATTAGTGTTAGCACGTGAAGTATTCTCCTCCTAATCAGGATAGGGAGTATGTTGCTTCAATGAGAGATTATATGAGTTCAAGCATATGCTTAGTTGTTTAAGTAATGGCTTATTCTGTAAAGTATACCTCAGTTTCTAAAATAATTTTGTTGTCCTCTTTGCGGGTGTCTAAGCCTCAAAGCTACTTGTTTTAATTCTCAGAAACCACTTAAAGTGACAGCATCTGCTCTTGTCAGGACTCTCATTACCCCGCCTCAGTACTACACAATGAATCTAACTTAATTTGTAACCTGTATCACACGGGCAAAATCTCATTTGTGCAAAGGGCGGGGGACGGGCTGCATCACAGAAATGGGACTGATGGCTCAGTAGAGCCTGCAGGCATTATCCTTTTCAGGTTGTGCACTTCAAATTTGACTCAGCCCTGGTTGCGAATATAAAACAGCTAAAATGCTTGCCTCAGTCATCTCATGTATTACTTTACTGAAATCAAGAGCTATATCAGGGAACATGCATGAATCTTTATGATGCCTGAGAGCAACGACTCTCAGACTTTTCAACTGGAAGAACCTCCTACAGCTTTTGAAAAAGATGTGGATATATTTTGCACAGTTTCACCACAAAGCTTTTCATTTGCAATTAACTAAAATGAAGCAGAGCTTTCAATGTTCTCTTATTATTTTTATTTTCTCCTAATCAGTTGTTTTGCCAGCTTGCACTCAGGAGAATGTCTGTGGCTTGAAGAAAACTGTGAGAGTTTACTAAACCAACATTCAGTATTTCACAAAATAGCAGTCATTCAGAACCTGCAAGTTAAGAAACATGTCTCAAGAATGCTTCTTCCAAATGGGAATCTGTGGTCAGGATCTAAGTGTGAACTTCTGCTGAAAAGATGGCTCCTCTGTCAGTCTAATTCTGATTTATTGTTTCCCGAGTAAGTGAGTATACAAAGAGCCTGCCTCTTCATATCCTGCAGATCATCATTCAGAAGAGTCATTTCAGTTAGAATCAGAGAGATTTCATGCTGGGCCTTTGTTCAGCAGCAAGGTGAACGTGTTACAGCAGCTTTGTACTGGATAAGGTCGTTGAAGTATATTGTACTACATATATCCCAGCTGCAATATATATACTTATACACATTCAAGTGAATTAGGGTTGAATGCAGTGGACCCTACCTCTGAATTTAGCAGTGCTTAATTTAGTGGGCTCCATATTTGAGCATCCCAATGAACATCTGTCCTATGTAGAGGCCTGTCTCAAGATGGGAGCATAGGGCTGAACTGAGAAAGGCATTTATGCACGCGCTTAACCACCAGTTAGTGTTTATAATTAATGAAATGGACATGACTTCAGCACATGCCTTAAAGCTCTCCCTTAACTGGTGGCCAGATGAAGGGCTGCATATTGGCCACACTTGGAAATTGCTTCTGGGTAAATCATGGCACCTTTAGTGCCTCAACACTTGACATAATTAAGAGCTTTGTTTGCACAGTCCGCTTGCTTTGCTGTATGAAAAGATCTCTGCTTCAATGTATGCACAAGTATTTTGAAAGAGAGAAAACAACACAAGCCTGAACTTAGAAATCTAAAAAAGTAAACAAAAGTAGAGATCTGGGTACACTAATTGGCAATAGCCTTCACTGAACAAAATGATATACACATTACTAGTGCTAAAAGATATTGATGGTGGATAGGAATTCAAAGACTCATTTTAAAGACAATGTTACTCCCAAAAAAAGGCTGGCTGCCAAATCCTATGTATGTGAAAAGCAAACCTATAATTACCAGATTTCTGGAAATGAGAGAACCTGTTTCACATCAAGCAAACGTACTCCTGATTCTCCCCTCACCTCCATAAGCAAAGCAATTCTATCAAGTTCAGTATAAAGATTCCTTATTTATACATTAAATATAAGAGGAGGATCATGCCTATAAGGCATTGTAATTTGCTTGTATTTTCTTTTTAATCTCCTACAAAACTTTTTTTTTTTTTTGCTGATAAGGAAGACTGCATCAGCTTGGATGCAACCAAGATCTCTGCATTAGGAATGATATGTCTGCTGTCTCTTCAGGCAGAATTTCTTATGTTAAACTTTTTGCTTTGATGTTGAGTCACTCCCCTTAGTGAAGGATCAGTGAATACAGGGAGACAAGGAATAAAGTGGCGTAAGGTGTTTCCTTGGCAATGTGCATATCTTTGTCACCAGAACAAAATAAAATAGCACCAAATTACTCAAGAACAAAAGAAATGGAAAGGCTTTTGAAATCTGCAAGCCAGAAAAGGGAACACTAATACAGTGCATGGACTGCTGCTCAGCATGACAGAGAATTAACACACCTTTTGAGTTAAGAGGTCAACCATAAGGATAATGAGATCTAGTTTAATCTAAGCTGACATGTTTTATGTATACAAATAAATGGAAGACCTGGCACAGGCCATATTAACTCAGACTGAGCCTTTACTGTCTTTGAAAGCCTGTTTTGCACAGCTAAGCAAACAGAGGAAGAAAAACAACAGTTAAATCACCCTTTGTAAAGGTGTCACTGAATGCATAAAGCAGACTATTTTATTTCTTCTTTGGTGCACATAGATAAATTAATAAGGGATGAATATTTATGAGAAGCGAGTTGCATTTTTTTGTTAATGAACAAAATATAAGGAAAAAACACATTAAATGTGTAATAGGGCATAGCGATGTGATACAGTGTTTTACTTGTAATTGTTTAAAATTAACAGTAAGATAAACAAATAGAATCTTATACAAGATATTATGAGCTGGTTCCATATAACTGACAAATAAAACATGGCTTATGGCACATCTCCACTTCAATACATGCAGCACACAGAAGAAACTTCATTTAAGCAGCCTTTTAGATGCTTTGGTTCTTAGTCATAGTCTTATTGTATTGGAAAGCAATTGATGGATGTGCTTGGTCATCCCAAAGACTCACTAGTTCTAGGCAGGCTAGAAATTAGCAGCATTCTGTACATATGAAAAACACTTTTCACCCTGGTCATCTTTGTACTATATTAAAACAGACACTGAAGGTTAATAACAAGAAGAGTAAAAGCATTACTTTTTCAAAAAAGCTTGGTGAAATTTAGACTTCTTTTTCTTATTTGGCACTTATCCACAACTATAAGCAAGCTTAATCTGCTAATTCTTCTGAAAACATTGAATAGAAATTTAAGTTACATTAGCCCTTTTCAAAATGTTACCACATGAAAGAAAAGAAAAAAATCATTGTCAGGCATCACATTTCTGAAAAAATCGTGACATATTCTTGACTCAGATTTCTAAAAGTTCTCAGTTTCTGAAATATTTTTCCCCTCATTTTTATGTTCAGTGGAGGCCAGTAAAAATATATTATTGGTAGCAGGTTATACCTCTTTATAGATCTCTACAAATCATGGTCTGTATCAAGCTTTGTAGATGCATAGTGCTTGGAAATGAGCAAAATATTTTGTTGATGATATACAAAACCACAGCAGAGGCTACTTACTCCATGAAAAAACAAATGGCAAAATCTTGCTTTAACTTGAAATAATAAGATGATGTTCTGAACTTTCAGGAAGAGTAGGTCTAATGAATAAGCAAATATATGCTTTTTGATCAGGTACTTATCATAATAAAACCAAACTTTAGAATTGTATCCAATATAACACTGTTCTGTGTCAAAAATTGGGGGGGTTATGAACTTCAGCTACTGAGATAAAAACGTTTACTTTTGCTGGACCGCTGTGGAAGCAGGAAAGTCTGGAAAGGAAAGTGAACACAGCAGCAAATGATCACTTCTTAGAACTTCCACAGCCAGTTTCCCTATAGCTCACCTGTTAGAGATGTCACATATTCACAAGTACCTGTCTGAAAATGTCTGATCTTGCTGATATTTGGAGTACATTATGGAGGTTGATTTTTTTGCTGAAGTAGTGAGGAGAAACTATTTTTTCTTGAAAATACTTAAGTTGGAGAGACCATCATTTAATTTATTGCCTTTAAACTTGTTTTATGTGTAAGTAAGTTAGAACACAAAAAATAAAAGTATACCTTTGTAAAAGAGGCAGTTCAAAATTCAAGTGTTAGGAGATTATAACATTGCAGGTTTACATGCAACTACAAAATTCACCCGCATTTATTCAACTGTCTAACAATTTTAAGTCCTTTTTAAACATCATTTTTGCTGAGAAGTGCAACCAACTGCCCAAATGAATTGCTTACACTGCACAGAAAGATGCGTGAAGAACACTCATGGAACCTAGTCCTAGTATTCTAGCTAGGCTGCTTATCAATCTCTCTGTTAGGGATGAGATCATCTACTCACGTCAAAAATAGCTTATCAGAAGCAATAAAACCACTGATTAATTAAATCCAGTACTCACAAAGAATGGAATGAGACCAGAAGCTTTGTCTTCATCCAAAAATTTCTTTAGGGCTGAACCACAAACACTAAATGTATCATCTGAAGGAACATTTTTAATCTTCACACCACCAATTAATGCAGCCCTTTCCACTGACGAATGAGCCTGCAAAGAAATGGGCAGGTTTTAAGACATTCCTTTTATTGGAATGTAAGTAGTTTATTTGAATTTGAAAATAAAAAATCATTTCTTTCAAGTAAAGCAATAGTTGAGATCCTGGGACTGTTGCTGGTACGTAACAGATACATACTTCTCCCTCTATCATACAGATAGACAGACAGATGGACACACACACATACATTTACATACATACACATATACACGCACACACACTTTAATAGAAACCCTGAAGTATTCTTGAAACCATTGCCATGGTGCAATTCAGACAAGAGTTCAATTAACCTTAGCGAGAGCTTTAATTAACATATTCATAATTAGGGAGAATTGATTAAGAGCTTCAGGATTTGGCTCCAAATCAACCAAAAGACATGTATATAATCAGCTTGCCTGATAATGATTCAGTTGCTCACCAGCATATTTTTATGGCATACAGCTTTGCTGAACCCTAAAAAAATATACATCATAGTATGGTATAGACTGAGATATTTTCTTACATTACCATTTTTTTTAAATTAGCTACTGAATAAATTGTGGTTCAATCATTCATTCATTTTGATAAGCAGTTAAGGATCCTTTCCAATATGTTATTTTATTTATAACCCATTTTATTTGAATTGCCCTTAAATAATATTTTTTAGAACATAAAGTAAATCTCAGTAAATAAAAACAAAGAAATTCTTACAAAATTGTGAAGTACAATAGTATAATAACTGTTAACAATAAAAGGTATGTTTAGCCACAAAATACTCCCATCTAAAGCATGACTAAAAAAAAAAAAAAAAGCTATTTTACCTTCCACTTTCTATGAATTTATTAATCATCATTAATTTAAACGGAAAAATTCCTAACCTTTTCATATTGTGATTATTTTTATTAATAATCTCCATCCAACCATCTTGGTTCTTACTAGTGCCTAGAAGAGCATTTACTAATTCTATTCTAATCTAGCATATAATCACAGAAAAGGTTAAGCCAAAACATATGTTGAACAAGACCAGATGAAGGTAAAGTTTCTGCCTTTCAACTTTACATATCCCTGGAATGATGTGTTTTGAAGGCAGCTTGACTATTAACTTGTATCTCAGCAGTGCCTCTTGTTAAAGTACTTTGGCAAACTAATTAGGCACCAGCTTGAGAAAATATAGAAGTCTAGATTTGAAATATAATTAACTGCTTTTGAAGTGAAAAACAATGTGTGTACCATAACAATACCATACTTCATTCGAGTCCTCAGCAAGGTACTTGGGAATTTCTCACCACCCTCGAGGAGAGCAAGGAACCAAACAAATCAGCAAAATGAGTGGGCAGCTGCTTAATCTAGTCAAATAAACACAGCAAAAAACAGCTGATGAAGGAAATGGCCTGAAAAAATGTGAGTATATCCCAAAAAGTACCCTGACTTCTGTCGTAGTCCCAAACAGTCAGGTGTCTACTGTCAGGGGTAGCCGCATGCTCCTTTCAGCTCCAAGGTCTCACATTCAGTATCCCTTGCAAGAGGAGCCTGTCAGGCTTGGGGAAAGCTTTGTTGCCAGTCCTGCTCTGTATTCATTAATGTAAAGTAAAATTATTTCAGTGGGATAAGGATTTTCCCAAACTGCCAAGAAGCTAAAATGATCTCCCAAGATATACAAGATCTGAGTTCAGCTTTCTGCTCTGGGTCTCCTTACTGGCCAACTTTTACCTCCATTCTTGCAGTGTTGTTCTCTGCCAGTACATAGTTTTCTCTCCCACAGAAAGGCTTAGGCTTACTTTCTTTTGTGGATTATTGCTTATGAGTCACACAGGTCTGTTCTTAATGCAGAAGGACCCGTGAGCTCGGCAACAATCTGCTTTGAAAGGTCAGCAATATCTTAAGGCAAATCCTTCTATAAACATAAGATCCTCTGACCTTCAGTAGGCAGGAAGGCCTGTCAATCCTCATTTCAGGTCAGCCACTTACATGGGACAAAAAATGAAAACAAGTAAAATGCTTTGTGCATCACTGGGTCAGAGTTGGAGCTCTGGGACTGACGGTCTGCGCAGCACAGACCTTAGGGTCCCAGACAAAAAAAAGGACAAATATCCTTTGTGCCTTTTGAAAACAGTCATCCTTCCTCGTGTTTTCTTGTCCTGACTGTTCTCACCCTACAAGTGTAGTCCCTCTTCCCACCAGCAAAGAGTAAGTGTACTTTTAAGTTGCTCTCCAGTGCTTTGGAATGTACACTAAGTAGTAAATCACCGTAAAACTGACTAAACATCGAGTACTAAAGAAGCTTTTTCTATCTCGTTGACATTTAGAGAGGAAAATGTCACAGCTGTTGACAGAAGCAACATTGCTTGGCCCTCCAGTAGGATTAGTATCAGAAAGGTAAGAGCACCAGAACTCGGAAGACTAAAAATTGCTTTCATTAACAGTAAAAGCCTCTCATGGTCCTGGCCTGCTGAGAATTTAGCCTAACTCAGTCTGCTAAATATCACTCACAGTCAGAAATCAAGGATTATGTTTCCTGTTTTCTTAGAATATTTCTTATCTGTATTGATACATGGAGATTTTAGGGTTGGCTTTGTAGTTTTTTTTTTTTAAATAATAATGTTTGGGGCTTCTTCAAGTTCTATGACCAGTCTGCTTTATATTAATGCACTAAGGTTTGTGTGCATGCGCCTGCACCCATGCAGGCGTAAAGGGACAGGATGTATGTACGTTTCCTTGCTCATGTGTATGTAGGAGGAAAAGAACGTGTGCGCACATGGACACGCAAGCCTAGATGTAACATAAGATGGTCTAGACCTACTCAATACAACTGAAATTGCCACCTTACCCAAGCATCTTCTTTTACTTCACATAAGCTCTCTGTGTAAAAAGCAATACTTATGTAACACTGACCTTCAGATTCTTATTCTTTGTATTACAGTAGCACAGATGAGATTCCAGCCCACTTATGATTTAAAGAAGCAGGACCAAATGGTCACCAATCCAAAGTGACCTGCCTATTGAGATGGCTCAAACTGTTAAGTAGAGAGCCCATGTTTCCATGGTTTTAAGATGTACTTACCTGATCAGAAGCATAGGCCACCAGCCTACCCATGATGTCTGCTTCTGTTAGCTCAGGCTTTTCTGACTGCACCCGTCTGATAGTTTTTGTTCTTGCAGCAAGCAGTGAAATCAAGGTGGCCTCGCTTGCACTTCCCTGTGGGACAAATTGAAGGAAGGTTCAAAAGGATGACATTCCAGAGGAAGAAAAGCAATATTTTCTTCTGTATGGGTCTGGGAAGTTGTTAACAGAAACTGCATATGAAAAACTGTGCATGCCCCTGTCTGCTCTATTGAAGCTCTCTGCTTGTTCAGTTTAGACACCAGCCTTGCAAATAATGCTAGAAAACTGGATTCACAGACTTAACTGCATGTGAAAAGGCTCTTGAACCAGGCACCAATAACCAGTAGCTAAATCAGTGACTGTTGATTTCTGCTACTCTGGATTTTTGCACATTTAACTTCCATCGGAATCTAACCATCAAATCTCATTTCTGTCAAGCAACATGTCTAACTATAACACTTATTTAATACTTACAGTTACCCTGGGTGAGTCAATTATTGTGGCTAAAGGAGAAAAAACACTGAAAAAGCAAACAAGCAGGATTCAACTACATATGTAGCTAACTGCATTTCAAAGTATTAGTTATGTACATTTTATTCATCAAAAACACACAGATGAAAGGCACAGTCACACACTATTTCTAAATTGACCTTTGACTCACAAAACATGAGTTTAAATTGTGTCTTGGATACTTTGTGACAACAAAGAGCAGAATTCTTTGTATCAATTGATCTGTAAATTTCACTAGAGAATACCAGTTCCCACAAATTCTTTTTATGGTTTCCCTCTAGAACAGACAGATGAAACATGCTCTAAACTACTCTTTTAAACTATAAGTAACAGTTTGTAAACACATGTTCATAAATTTCAATGGGTTTGGGTGTCCATACGCAAGATAGAGATTTTAGTTACTTTCCAAGTTAAACAATTGTCATGTGAAAGCACCCAACACTGCAATAAATACAGTTGTTTATATTAATAAGCACATCTCAGAAATATCCCTACTGTCAACAAGCTCATTTTGGAGTGATATTTCTTACCCTGTAGCAAAATTCTATCCTCCCTCTGCTGAAGACTTGTGTACAATTACTAATTACGACAAATGTAATTACTTGGGAAGTCTTATTTCTTCCCTAGAGGTGCACCTGATCCTACAGATTTCATACATGAGAATGATCCCAGTGAACTTAGACTTTCTCCTAATACCGAAGTGAGTTGAGCTATTTATGTGAGACAAAGCTGCCTTCCACACACATCAACAGCTCAACAGTAAGTGAACACAATCCAGCTGAAATTCAACAGCCTCATGAATGGATTAAGCAGGAAAAAGACAGTTCCTAAACATATGCTAAATGTATTGCCATGACAAATATATTTTATCTGCCTTTCTGGTGATGTGGGATTTGAGGAATGTAGACCCCAGGGTCTGCATCAGAGCACAAAGACAAGCTGGGGACAGTTTTGTGCATTTCTTACAGCTGCTGCTGCTGCATACAGCATCATGGTAATGGAGGGAAATATAGGAAAACAAATATTGCTCTTGGGTCAAGTAAGGTAGAACTTCCATGTGGAGGCAAGGGGTGAAGGATATTCTATTAATTACAGAAAACATAACTTGGCAATCTCCCCATTTAATTTTACGCTGCATGTGGTCTGTAGCCAGATAATCAGAATACTCATCAGAATTTCTCAACACCGAGAAATCATGCCTGTCCATAGTTCTCAAAACTCATGACGCAAGAGTGTGCACACACAATTATCTTCATCTGACACACAAAGAACTATCAAGATCTGATTCATCTTACTTTATCTGTCTACAAGTTAAATATCTGTAATAAAATAATGGCTTAGGGTCCCCTAGTATTCAGTTTTCCTGAACAGAGGTAAGCAAATACAGAAAGCAGTAATTTCATCTATTTTAGGCCAATATTCTGGACTAAGATAAATGGTACCTCTAGAGATACCTTCTTGTATGTTCACCTTTATCTGACAAAATGTGAGAAGAATCTCACACTGTATAAGTTTCCTAATGAGACACTTCTGTCACCATGTCTTTGTTAGCAAAACTATTTCTGCCATGCTCGGCACAATATTATCTAAGTAACAGTGAAAAAAAAATACACTTCCTGACAGTCCTTTGAGCTGCAATATGATGACTCGGATCCTGGGTGTCCAACAGACATGAGGCATGTTTTACAGTTAAGAACATCACCTATTTTCTGAAAAGGTGCAGTTTTTTCCTATTTTCTTTTACAAGCAGTATATAATCTTCTAAAGAACCCTGCATAATCAAAAGACCTGCATAATGGGCATATACTATCAGAAAAAGTTGCTTGAAATACCCTTTCCAGCAATTCAGCAGATGAGAATACTTTTCATTTGCACAAACCACTGGAACTTATTGTGATGTTCATACAGTTTTTCGGGTAAGTTTTATGTCCTCATAATGAAGTTGGGCAACATAAAGCCTGTGTGAAAGACCTAATTCCATCTCGCATTGGGCAAGACACTGAAAACAACCTTTTTAAACTTCTATTCTTCACAATAAAGTTAGCTCTAGCACCCTTGCATTCAATATGTGGGAAATCACACTAATTATTTAAGGGGATACATGAAATTCTTTCAAATATATGCAGAGAAATTTACCCTTTTTTCTTTTTTTTTCTTTTTTTTTTTTTGTAATGCTAAGACCCTGTGAAACTGTGAGTGTCTTTACAGGACATGTAAGGAATATGCATATTAAAAAAATGCACACAAATATATGAAAGAAAATGAAAGAAAATGGCTGCAGGAAATTCCAACGGTTAAAGCATTAATTTGAGATCTGGAAATTTAAGCCCCCACTATTCTGGACACTGCCTGGCTGAGCAGGCAAATTACTTGATTTAGGCTCAAGAATAGCTTCAGCGTTCTGAGGAGTGCCACAAAATGTCCTGGAATCCTGGCTGTTCTTCCAGGCTGGTGCACAGTCAGTGTACTCAACAGTTCTTCTAAGAATTTCCTAACACAGAAACAAGGATGAATAGGGAAGAGCCTGCTGAATCTTTCCTCCTGATATAAAGCTGGTACATAGCCTAAAGGCACCTGAATCCAGAAATTTGGAAATGCTTTTTGATGTCTCATGATAGACATAGGCTTTTTCACCTTCCCTCAGTTTCCATAAGTCACCTTTTTTATACTGAAGTTTACAGTGTTTGCAGAACCTGTTTTGTAAGGCTCTTCTAGTCCCTTGGCATTAAAGTCTTGCACTAAATATTTTTGAGGAAAAAACACCCCTTGATTCTTGAACTACTTGGCTAACTGACAAGAAAGATAGATCAGCGGTGTTCCTAACCAGGCCAAAGACAGGCTGAGTCTCATTTTGTTTCACCCTTAAAATACTACTTCTTTGCAGAGCAAGAAAACTCTTTAAAATTCAAAGTAAGTACACTTTTCAGCAGTTTGTCTAGAATGAACAGCAGGATACAAGCTCCAGGAGAAAGTTGCTTTCTCACCTATTTTTAAAAGCTGTTTTTTTTCTCCTCTTGAATGCTGTATTCTGCATTAAGTGAAGGATGATGATACCTTTCCTTTTACCGCAAGCAAACAAAGGTTGCCATGGCGAGCAGGCTCAAGAGGCGGAAGAAATATCAGCAAGAGCTGATGTTCATGTCCACCAGAGCTCTGAACTGAAATTTTCTTTCATCTTTTGCCATTTTCAAGTGTCATCCTGCACGCAACAACAAAGTGCTTCATATTGACATAGACTTTCAAATGTAATTAAGAGCCAATTTTCACAGGCTCAGTTTTACCCAATACCAAAATAATTACTTGGTATTTACCAAGAGAATGACTGGCACTTTCACAGGCTCATGTTGTCTTTGCCTCCCGCTCTCTTATTTGTATCATTATTGTTTCAAGAGCAAGACAAGAAGATCTGCAGCACAAATGACTTCATTGAAAGCAGGAGCACAGAACACCACTTTCGATTCTTGAAACTGACTGGTTTCTGATGAAAATTATGGGCAATCCAGCATTGGCAGCCTGGAAGGGCAATATTTTCTGCTGATAACCATCAGGCATAATTGCCTGCTTTCACTGGTACAAAATAAATACTGTTGAGACACATGAAAAAAGCTTGATTTCTTGAGCATAAGCTCCTCCCTAGTAATTGTAATGAAAAAGGTCCTAACAGAGCAAGCGGATGAGTACAGGGTTATTTTTGAAATATACTGGTGTAGGTGCAGCTCCATCTTAGGAGAATCATAGCAGTTGGGTTAAATTCATACTCACCTAGGATTATATTAGGAAGAATTCATTGAAATATGCTGTAGGCATTTGCAGTTGAGATGAAAGAAAGAAGCCTGCACTTCTAGCATGTAATTCAGATGTATTTTAGAAGCCTGTCTTAGGATAAAATGGATTGTGCCCTGGCCTCCAATGACCAGTCTCCAGAGATTATCAACAGAACAATTATTTAAAATTCAGTTTTTTCACAGTAGAGATCTATTCTATTTTAGTTAGATTACTAGCTGTGACCAGAGTCTGCATTTGCAGAAAGGCCACGGCTGACAAACAATACAGTTTCATTAGGCATGCAAGTTTGCCCATTGATGATATATTCCTTATTGTACAGATAGTCTGTTCAGACACTGTAGATTCTCATTAAGTAGTCAATGTCAAATTGTCTAAAATCCCAATATTCTATTTGGGATACTGCAGTGTAGTCTGAAAATTGTATTATCTACTGATGGAACCATTTAGGTTAAAACTTTAAGCAGCTCTTCATTTTATTTTAATGTTCCACTGTTTCATTTTATTATATAAGGAAAACTTCTTAAAATAATTTCAACTTCTCTGACAAAAATTGATAGACTTTCTACTACATTCTCGTATTTCTACTTGTAGAAGATTCTCTCCTATATTCTTTTCCATTGCTTGATCTCTGAGAGTGTTTTCCTTAAAAAAAAAAGGAAGGCTCTTTTGGAAACTGAAGTAAACAATTGAACATGCCTAAGGTGGACTTTGTGAAAGCCTTTGTAACCACTTTTCATGATGCTGTCCTCAAAATTCTCAGATATATTTCTATTTGAGAAGTTTTTTTCTGTTTTCAGCCACGAAACATTGCTGCATATTTTTGGTAAGTATGCGGTCACTTCACTTGATCAACAAATTAAAGTTTCCATCCTACACAATTTTTCAACATTATTATTTGAATTTTAAGCCCCAACTGTGCTGTTAAATTAAACTACTAACAATTCCTCACAGAGGAGAGAGTTTCAGAACTCAGCTGCTCTAAAAACAAAACCACTACTTTCATCAATGACCCTGCTCACCTATGGACATTCTCACAGAGCATCAATCTTTCTGAAAATCTGAAAGGAACCCATGTGGCAGAAAAAATATATCTTTCCTTTTATTAGTGTTTTGGCATGAAGGTTTTACAAAATCATGAAGTCCACAAACTCATCCCATATTCTTTTTTCCCCTCTTACCTGAATGACTCCTCCACCCTGGCCATCTTTCCCAGCTAAAAACTCGTCCGGCAAATTAATCATCTTCCCTAACCAATCCAGCATGACAGTCTCCAGCTCTGTGCAAGCTGGACTTGCGGCCTGCGTTGAAAATAGAACAGAGGGAATAACCTCACTAGACAATGAAGAGAAACAATAATAAGTCTTTCTCTGTCTCTTTTGACTATACAGGAAGAGACTAGCTGACTAATTTCACTAGCTAAGTTAGGGACCTGAAGACTATTTTGTGCATATTGCTTCTAATATTTACCAAAAACATGTTAAACTGGGCCTCTCATAGAAGCATGACTATCAAATGTCAGAGCTAGGATTTGCATCTTGCATATTTTTTTTCAACATTAACAACTAACCTCTGTTGAGAAGAACCTATCTCATATCAATGTGGATTTTTTTAAACACAATTTTCCATTCACCCAGATGATAAAAGAAGTAACAACACTGGGTCATAGGCAACAGTCATACTACTTAATGATTTAGCAGTAAGTTTGCACTGCTAATAGTCCTGTCACTTCACTGCTATTAATCAATAATTTCACTGTTACTGAAATGCTTAAAATCTTGGCAAGGTGAAACACCATTACCACATAGCAATACGTACCCCAGTAAACTTACCCAAGAGAAGCCCATACATCCTATTCCACTACACAGCATATCTGCAAGAATTGCTGGGAAGGAAGAAGCTGCAGGGAAGTAGGCAAAAAAGTACGGACTGTGCCAGTGGGTCATCTGTATTAAGGGAAAAATAGTCATTTTTAACTAATGCAGGAAGCAGAAACAAATTGTCACAAAATCAGGAAAGATTAGAGGTTGGGCCCAGTCAACAGTTCTCTACTACCTGGCTGTAATGCAGGATCCCATTTTTTACAAAACCTTACCTTGTTTTTTTCTCAGTTTTTTATCTATCTTTTACTCAAATTAGAAATAAATTAGGTCTTGCCCCTGTCTCCCAACAGTTCCAAAATCGGAGGTCTCCATTTGTCTGCCTAGAAGACAAGAATTGCACGGGCAGTGGCAGTGTGAGTTTCCCTTCATGGCACTGCTCTCGAGCCTCTGCCTCCAGGGACTCCGGTATCTTGTTCTTTCATCTCCATCATACAACAGACTTAGCAAGAGCGTCTTTAATGCAGCAGAGGTCCGCAGAACTCTCTTGCCCACACACTGGAGTCGTTTTCTAAAACTCAGGCACTGAATCTGGCCAAAACAGCTCCTCACCACAAAATGAAACAATCCATTCCAGTATCTAACAACTTCTGTAGAAAATTAAACTATCACCTCCCTATAACAAGTTGTGATTTATGTACAATTCCATTTTATCTGTACTAATATGAGAGAACAACACAACTGCATAAATTGTAGTCAATTGTCTTGCAGCAGCAAAATTTAGAATTATCTTATGCAACATCTAAGCAATTTTTAAGGATCTGTGAGATACTTGATAGTGCTCCACAAGTCCAATCTAGTAAAATTTGAAAACAGGAAAAGTACTGCCACACTGCAACATTCAATAGAAATAATGGGATATGATATGTTTGGCATATTTCATCTTCTAACTTTCTTCATGTCAGGATCACTTTCTTTGCTGTAATGAAGTTTTAGAGCACTTGTGGCAAACACCTTCCTTCACAAATCAGAAAAAAAATTGGATGGGACTTGGTTCTTCACAGGAAAACAACAAATAGATTTAAAAATAGCCAATAAACAGCAATCCCTGACAGGACCCACAAGCACAGACTTTCACTGACGTCCATAATGAGCCAGGTCTGCCACTGTTCATCTCCCCAGCTCTAATCCTCTGTGATCTGTAAGACTTGTGACATTCATCTTGGGTTAATCAAGTTAAACTGCCTACTTGCTGGGAGCCATTTGTTTGATGAAACACAGCAGATTCCAGTTGTACCACTCACACAAAGCAAAAAAGCCAAAAGCCCTAAGGCAAGTGCAGCTGCGGTTCTTCTTCCTGCCTCCCCTTCCCCCTTTGCCTGAATCAGCTGGAAAATTCATTTCTTTCGCCACGTTGGAACAGGCACAGTCAAATATTGCAAAGAGCATGACATAATTGATGCTTGTTTTTTCAGCCCTCTGCTGATAAACAGTGATACACAAACGTCTTGAGTTCAGTAATTACCACTCTAGCGCTTCTCAGAGACATTTTATTTCCCAGATTTCCTCTAAGGATGTCTTTCTTTCTTGTGGCTTGCTTAGTCTAACCAAGAGTCTTCCTTTACCACACACCAAGGACAGGTACTTCAGCTGGAAAATTAGCGTCTTCAGTACTGCTATTTGCAGTTACAACTAAACTCGATCATTTTTGGCTCTAAAAAAGGAGGAGATCTATTTCAAGAGAACAAACCAAGTCTGAGAGAGAAAGGTGACTCTTGCTGATATTTTTATATGCGGATCCCTTCCACCTTGGCTTTCTACTGTGGAGGTCAGAGCTCAGCAGTTGTTCCCTCAGTCCCTGTGTATAGCACCATTATGGTCATTATCATTTCAAGAACTTCCCTTTGCAGGTCTACGTCCAATTTCACAGGAAATAAAAGAAGTTTTACCACTCATGCATGCTTGTTCTCCTATAGCATAAAGACAGCAGCGGATACCGCATTATTGCTTTACACAATGAATTGATCCTTGCTCCTCTGAAGAAACACCATTTTCACATTTTCAATCATCTAATAAGTAGCAAATATCTGAACACAACTAACACAGTAAAGATGTCAACATAAAGGAAACAAGAATCACTTATGGGCCACTGATAGCTTATGGGCAAAACAAGGTTTTATGACCTCTTACAAGTACGTAAGTAATATGACAATGTTAGTCTTGTCAGGAAAAAGATTAAGGGAAAATGTAATGGGGGTAGATTGTCCCTATAGCCAATTTCAGAAGACCCTAAAAATAATTATAAATAATTTTAAAGGTCTCTAAAGAAAATGTGAATGTCTTACTATGCTAAGCTCTTCCTATACTCCCTGCCTCCATGTGCTTGCACAGTATCATCATTTTCACACTTCAGTTTCTGCGAGTACAGCTAACAGAGGCAGCCAACAGATGCAGCAGTTCCATGCACAGAAGAGGTCCAGAAACCCTGCTAAGGTCAGTGTACCTGGGCTCTGCAGTGGGGGTGACGCTCCACAGGACACAGTCCCCAGTAGCAACTGGAACAACTACCCCTGGCACGTCACAGGTCTCAACACAAACTAAGCTCCCAAGGGAATATGCAGCTCTGCAGGCCTGGGACTGTAGGGAAGATGGGGCCTTTTGACAAGGCTGGGGCAGTGGGACATGGCTTTCTTAGCCTGCAGGAGGCACGTACTGGTAGAGGGTCTGTGTTGCGGTGCAAAGGAGCAGCAAGAGGAGGTCAGCAGATCACGCAGCATCAGAGATGACAAAAAGGAGATTGAGTGAATCTTCCCTGAGACATAGCACAAGGTATCTCAAATACAAGAGCCAGAACCCCCCAGATGTGCCAAAGGTGGGGCAGTCAGAGTCTCTGCTTATTTGGTTGGGAAATGGAGTCCTATGATGGTGAAGGGCAGTAGCTTGTAACTACTGGCACTAGGAGGAAAGCTGCTCCTCCACCTGCAGATCTGCAACTACAGAATAGGTTCAGGCCCTAGCTGGAGACGGGCTGGGAGCCCTGCTCTGTCTAGTGAAGCTCTCAGGCAACCTGAGTGTTGACCCTAGTGCTGACAACAGGGATTTGGGTTTTAAGACCAGTGGGATCCTCTTTGAGGATCAAATCCTCGGAAGAGAAAGGATCCACATGAACGATTGGGGCAAAAATATCTTTACAGACAGGCTAGCTAACCTAACTTTAAATTAGAAATGATGGGGGAAGGAGATGAAAACCCACAGTCAAGGGAGGAAGGTGGACTGAGTCAGCAAGCAAAGGTTGAAGGGTAATGTGGACAAGAAAGATCCTTGAAAACAAGATCAGGCTAAAGCAGAGCAGGGTTAGTAAAGCCAAGCCATCTAGGGATGGGATATGAAGGGCAACAGGAAAGACTTCTGCAGGTTCATCAGTATTAAAAGGAAAGTAGGGTAAATGTAGGCCTGCTGCCAAATGGGGTTGGGGACTTGGAAACAAAGGACAGGGAAAAGGCTGAGGCACTCAATGCCTTTTTCACCTCAGTCTTTACTGGTAAATTTGCCTTCAGGAATCCCAGGCTCCCGAGACACACGGAAAAGCCTTTAGCAAGGAAGACCTCACATGGAGAAAGAACAGGTTAGGAACATTTAAATAAACTGGACAAATATAAGTCCATGGAACTTAATGGGATGCATGTACAAGGGCTGCAGGAGCTAGACAATGTCATTGAAACTACTCTCAAATATCTTTGAAAGATTACGGCAACTAGGGAATGTTTTTGAAAGACTGGAAAAAAGCAAATGTCACTATCTTCAAGAAGTGCTAGGAGGATCTGGGAAACTACAGTCCTCGCCCCAATCCCAGGGAAGATGATGGAACCTTGAAGCTATTTCCAGACATATTGAGGACAAAAAGGTGATTGGGGCTATGCAGAAAAGATTTATGAAGGGGAAATCATGGCTAAGGAATTTGACAGCCTTCTGCAAGATGACTGGCTTGATGGACAAGGGGAGAGCACAGGATATTAAACTAAGTTAAGACTTTCAATACTGTCTCCCATAACATCCTTACTGACACAGTGATGAAATATGGACTAGATAAGTGGACAGTGGAGTGAAAACTGCATTGTGATCAGTGGCACGAAGTACAGCTGGAGGCCAGTGGTGTACCCCAGGAATCAATACCACGGCCAATATTGTTTAACATCTTCATTAATGACTTGGATGATGGGACAAAGTGCACCCTCAGCAGTTTTGCAGATGATGTAAAACTGGGAGGAAAATTTGAAACACTGCATGGTCATGTTGCAATTCAAAAGCTGCAGAAATGGGCCAACAGGAATCTCAAGTTAACAGAGAAATGCAAAATCCTGTACCTGGGGAGGAATAACACCCTGCACCATTACAGGCCAGGGATTGACTGGCTTGCAAGCACCTCTGCAGAAAAGGTCCTGGTGGAAAAGCTGAACATAAGCCACCGATGTGTCCCTGCAGCGAACAAGGCCAACGGCATCCTGGGCCACATTAGGAAAACTGTTGCCAGCAGGTCAAAAGAGGTGATCCTTCCCATGTACTCAGCACTGGTGAGGCCACACCTGGAATGCTGTGTCCAGTTCTGGGCTCTCCAGTAAAAGAAAGTCATGTACATACTGGAGTGATTCCCATGAATGGCCATGGAGATGATTAATGGATTGGAGCACCTGTCGCATGACAAGAGGCTGAGGGAGCTGGGGTGGTTCAGCCTGCAGAAATCTCAGGAGGCACCTTGTTAATGTATGTAAACACCTCATGGGAGGATGTAACAAAGATGAAGTGAGATTCTTCTCAATGGTATTCAGTGACAAGGCAAGAAGTGTGTACAAATTGAAATACAGAAAATTCCACTTAAACCTAAGAAAAAGCTTTTCTACAGTGAGGGTGGTCAAACTTTGGAACAGGACAACAGAGAAAGTGTGAAGACTTCATCCTTGAAAATATTCAACATCCAATTGGACATGGTTCTGAGCAACCTGCTCTAATTTACTCTGCTTTGAGCAGTGGAGGTGGACTAAATGATGTCCAGAGGTGCCATCCAACCTCTACTATACTATGACTTTGTGATTTTGTGTTCATGTGATTGTCCAGTATTTGGCATAAACAACATGGGCAGAATCAGAGTTACTATAAGAACTGGGATTTATGTACTTGTGCTCTTTGTATCACAAACATTAACAGGAAAGTTTTGGATAGAACATTTCTTCAGAATGTATCACTTTGTAAAAGTAAATTTATTTACAGGGCAGGTAAACATCAAGAAAAATCAATTTAGTTAAGAGGGAACATGACATGTTGATGACTTAATTGGAATTGTATCTCTCACTTTCTATTTTCTATTCTCAAATGATTAATTTCTTATTTTTTAATTTGATATTATTTTACTGGATGTTCTCAAGCGTTCAAAGCAAAGTGTTTTCTGTTCTATTTCACAATCAAAAAAAAAAAAAGATTAGTATTTTGCTCCAATGAAAAAGAAAAGGAAATCATATCTATAAGCAGCAATGAAAGTTATTTGCATGCGTTGGACATAATCCCTTTATCTAATCTGCACTGATTTAATCCTGTTGGATTTAAGACTTCATCCACAAGTCTCTGAGAAGAGAGGAGAGATTTCCATTGTCTTCAGGGAAGCTTTGGCCTGTGAAAGGACAGCAGGGTTGGCTCCAAGGGAAACAAGATAAGGTCATATTGAAAATCAAATATTTACATTGTCCAGTGAAAAAGAATTGGTATTATAGTACACTGACTGAACACATTTGCAGAGCAGTGGTTCCATATCCAGTCACATAGCAATCATATCACCTAGCTACATCCAGAGAAGCAACCACAAGTGGCTATTGCAGAGATCCAAAGGAGAGATTCCTCATTTACATTTACTAATAATCCAGTCCTCTTCAAGTTACTTACAGTCCTTAGCAGACAAGCATGTATTTTAAATAAAAAAGGCATACCATGAGTGGAAAAACAAGAAAGATTCAGAAATGGGCAAATGCCAGACACTTTGTTTTGCATTGTTTGTCCAATATTTAGGTAGTGGCAATCTGCCTTAAAAGTACTAGAGGAACTTGACATTTAGGGGAGTAAGTCAACAGAACAAGTATTGGGGAGAATCCTTTATAGTCAATTCTGTAATAAAAAGAAGTTTCCTAAGAGAATTTTAACATTTAAAGATCAGCTTGAAGGAACCCTTTAGGCACAGCAGACTAATAAAAATCCCATTTTATAAAATATTTACTGTGCTTTGCAAGCAGAAAAAATATCACCTGAAATTGAAAGTTATGAAGCTTTGCCTTAACCAATTCAAGGGAGGAAAGGGAATTATTTCCAAAAGCAAGCCTCGCATGAAGCAAAGGAATGATTTTATTATATCTAGCAAGAACAGAAAACATTACTTGTATAAAGCGTTAGATCATATTTAACTAAGGATGTAAAGCAGACTCCCACTTTCCAAAAATTAATCAGTGTTCGTAAGATCTAGCTGCACAGCCCTCAATCCACACTTTCTTTAAAATCTTTGGGAACCTAAATGCTCTATTGAACGTTACACTACAAATCCATTTTTCTTACCCCTGGCATAATGATCTTCTCAATGTCTTTAAAGACATCCTCAAAGCTCTCAGGATCCTGGGGAGCACAGTCTGGAATGAGGGGCCTTAGATAACCTGGTTCCACATCTGGGAAGACCTGCCTTTTATCTATCTTCTCCAGGTAATCTGCAATATAGTCCACCATCTCCTTCCCTCTCTTGCGGTACTCTGCAGCATCCATGGGTATCAGAGTTTAGGCCTTATTATCAGAGAAACCCTAAAAAAAAAAAAAA